ATCAGTGTACAAATTTTAGCAGTGTTGGTTATTTTGTACAGACCATATCAGGGTACAAATTTTAGCAGTGTTGTTATTTTGTACAGAGTGTATCAGGGTACAAGTTTTAGCAGTGATGTAATTTTGTACAGACCGTATCAGGATACAAGTTTTAGCAGTGTTGGTTATTTTGTACAGAATGTGTCAGGATACAAGTTTTAGCAGTGTTGTTATTTTGTACAGAATGTGTCAGGATACAAGTTTTAGCAGTGATGTTATTTTGTACAGAGTGTGTCAGGATACAAGTTTTAGCAGTGATGTTATTTTGTACAGAGTGTATCAGGAAACAATTTTTAGCAGTGTTGTTATTTTGTACAGAGTGTGTCAGGATACAAGTTTTAGCAGTGATGTTATTTTGTACAGAGTGTGTCAGGATACAAGTTTTAGCAGTGATGTTATTTTGTACAGAATGTGTCAGGATACAAGTTTTAGCAGTGTTGTTATTTTGTACAGAGTGTATCAGGGTACAAGTTTTAGCAGTGTTGTTATTTTGTACAGAGTGTGTCAGGATACAAGTTTTAGCAGTCTTGTTATTTTGTACAGAATGTGTCAGGATACAAATTTTAGCAGTGTTGGTTATTTTGTACAGACCATATCAGGGTACAAATTTTAGCAGTGTTGTTATTTTGTACAGAATGTGTCAGGATACAAGTTTTAGCAGTGTTGTTATTTTGTACAGAATGTGTCAGGATACAAGTTTTAGCAGTGTTGTTATTTTGTACAGAGTGTATCAGGAAACAAGTTTTAGCAGTGTTGTTATTTTGTACAGAGTGTATCAGGGTACAAGTTTTAGCAGTGTTGGTATTTTGTACAGAATGTGTCAGGATACAAGTTTTAGCAGTGTTGTTATTTTGTACAGACTGTATCAGGGTACAAGTTTTAGCAGTGATGTTATTTTGTACAGGCCGTATCGGGATACAAATTTTAGCAGTGATGTTATTTTGTACAGAATGTGTCAGGATACAAGTTTTAGCAGTGATGTTATTTTGTACAGGCCGTATCGGGATACAAATTTTAGCAGTGATGTTATTTTGTACAGAATGTGTCAGGAAACAAGTTTTAGCAGTGATGTTATTTTGTACAGACCATATCAGTGTACAAATTTTAGCAGTGTTGGTTATTTTGTACAGACCATATCAGGGTACAAATTTTAGCAGTGTTGTTATTTTGTACAGAGTGTATCAGGGTACAAGTTTTAGCAGTGATGTAATTTTGTACAGACCGTATCAGGATACAAGTTTTAGCAGTGTTGGTTATTTTGTACAGAATGTGTCAGGAAACAATTTTTAGCAGTGATGTTATTTTGTACAGAGTGTATCAGGGTACAAGTTTTAGCAGTGTTGTTATTTTGTACAGAGTGTGTCAGGGTACAAGTTTTAGCAGTGATGTTATTTTGTACAGACTGTATCTGGGCACAAATTTTAGCAGTGATGTTATTTTGTACAGAGTGTATCAGGGTACAAGTTTTAGCAGTGATGTTATTTTGTACAGACCGTATCTGGGTACAAATTTTAGCAGTGATGTTATTTTGTACAGAATGTGTCAGGGTACAAATTTTAGCAGTGTTGTTATTTTGTACAGAATGTGTCAGGATACAAGTTTTAGCAGTGATGTTATTTTGTACAGGCCGTATCGGGATACAAATTTTAGCAGTGATGTTATTTTGTACAGAATGTGTCAGGATACAAGTTTTAGCAGTGATGTTATTTTGTACAGAGTGTATCAGGAAACAATTTTTAGCAGTGATGTTATTTTGTACAGAGTGTATCAGGGTACAAGTATTAGCAGTGTTGTTATTTTGTACAGAATGTGTCAGGAAACAAGTTTTAGCAGTGTTGTTATTTTGTACAGACCGTATCAGGGTACAAATTTTAGGAATGATGTTATTTTCTACAGAATGTATCGCGATACAAATTTTAGAAGTGATGTTATTTTGTACAAAATGTATCGGGATAAAGATTCTGTACATTGCTTATGTAACATATATTTGTGGATACATCATTAAGCTAAAAAAAAGACGATGCATTAATATTATATTGCACCAGATTAAGTACGTTTACAGCAATTTTCTAGAATAAAATGACAAGATTTGATCTAGATTTACCTGAATGACAATCGGTGAAGATCTGTTCTGCATTGATTCAGTACAGAGATACACAGCATACCAGCAACAAATTGTTACTACAGCAGTTACTGACAGGAAAAATGATGTAACAATGTCCAATAATACTTCATTTCTAAACGCTTTTTCAGTCAGCACAATTAGGTATTAAATTGTGTTAATCAATTTTGAAGATAACATACAAATTTAAAAACAATTACATATTAAAGTCTACCTGGTATTATGATACAATTCTTATGCAGAATTGACAAGATTACAAGTTATGTGAATTATACAAAAAAGACAAGGTATCAAACTTAATTCTCAATCAATACTTTCTGGGTCAGTATTGCTAGATTTGATTTTGAAATAATTTTGTTATTGCTTTAGTTGAAGTTTTTCATTTATTATTGTATGCCAAGGGAGATTATTCCGTCAATCTCCAAATCAACGGAAAGTACATGGATCTTTATCAACAAGAGATCCCAGAGGGATCTTGGCAACCACTATTGTTTGATCTTTATATGCTCTTTGAAAGTTGGATCTTGTCCAATCTTTTCTCTTCTCTGTTTTTGCTCTTAATGATAAGATATTTGAACATTCCTTTACAGTAATAGCAATGATAATCTTTACCTGCCAAATCCAAAATGGCCATCAAAAGCCATTTTGTTTCTTCTGGTCAGTCCCAAAATCAAATGAACACAAGGAGAGACCAAACATATTGTATAAAATTTGAGAGATATCCATTCAGTACTTCTTAAGAAATAGGGATAGTAATCTTTACTGGACAAAACCAAGATGGGTGCCTGTCGGCCATTTTGTTTTCTTGGTCAATCCCAAACTCAGACATGCACACCTAGGGACCTAAAGGAACCTATACATGAAATTTGATAAAGAACTTTACAGTAATTCTCAAGTAATATTGATAACAAACTTTCAAAGTCAAAATCCAAGATGGCCACTTGTGGGCCAATTTTTTTTATTTTTTATATTAGCACTAAAATCACACAAGCGCAACTATGGATCTAAAGGAATCTACAGATGAAATTTAAGAAAGCAGCTAGTAAGGGTTACCAGAATATTCCCATTTCATCACAGGAGTCAAGTATGATTTCCTAGTCAGCCATTCGGCCACATCAGCTGAACAGTATCAAGCTTTAGAGAAATTCTCTTTAGCCTAGTGGTATATTGCAGCTAGTAAGGGTTACCTAAACATTCCCATTTCACCACAGGTATGATTCACCTAATCAGTCATTCAGCTAGTAAGGGTTACCTAAACATTCCCATTTCACCACAGGTATGATTCACCTAATCAGTCATTCAGCTAGTAAGGGTTACCTAAACATTCCCATTTCACCACAGGTATGATTCACCTAATCAGTCATTCAGCTAGTAAGGGTTACCTAAACATTCCCATTTCACCACAGGTATGATTCACCTAATCAGTCATTCAACTAGATGAACTAAACAATATCAATTCGTACAAATATTTCTTTTTTCTTTGTTACATACAATGTACAGACATTTATTCACACAGATTAAAATATTGCAATTTTTATACATACATTTATCAGGATATTTTTCTTGTAAATCTAATTTTGTCACCAAAATTAACGCATTATAATCGACAATGAAAAATGATTCAAAGTGAATTATGTTCCGTTTTTTTGTTATATACAAGTTATCTACATATAATGAAAAACACAGATCAATTCAATTTTTCTTCACATGTACTGTGGTATTACAACCTGTTTCACGTAGCTCATAGATATTTTCAATAAAAGCAAATCAAACAAATAAAGTTTTAAAAATAAGTACAGGAAAAAGTTACTACTGCCCAAACATCTCTAATTAAATGTATCTTATTTAACTGAATGCCCTCCTTGGATATGTACATGATATGTAAAGTAATTCATTTTTCCTTTCAACAACTGACTAAATAAAACATTTTTATCTATTGACATTAAGCTTAAGAAAAAATGTTTCTTGACATAGAGTTTGTTTCTGTTAATATTGTTTGCGTTAGGACCTCTAAAGGGTGTCCATTCATTTGAGATTCACGAAATGAGACAGAGTTTTCAGTTTCACCAGTTGTTAGTTGAAATATAAAATTTGTGAAGAGTCTCATAAACAATGGATGGAAATGGAAGATTCTGTTTATCACACATGTATAACATAAAGATACTTTAGCCTATCACAACTCCATTAGGTCACATTACACATGTGTAATAACAAAACATATCATGGGTACTATTGTACCGTCAACATGGAAGATGAGATGAAAACATTAAGTAAAATATATTAAAACAAAGCCTGTCCAATCTAACCAATACAGTATCATGCTATTTTTCCTGGGACTGGGCCTTCAATCACCAGTTTGTACCAAGGTATTGCTTCTACTTCAATATCACAGGCATATACTGGTATATAATACATATACAGACTTGGGTTTATTTTGTAATATTATCATGGCATACTGCCATGATAACAAAGTCCAGAGCCAAAAGTAATGGTGCAAGGAGACTCAATTCCTTAACTGTATATTGTAATTTGACTTTATCAACACGTTATAGATGATAACCTTCACTTTACAGGGTAGTATACCTTCACAGTAGAGGTTATAACTTCACAGTACAGACTATATGTTCAAAGTACAGGCTATACCTTCATAGATTGACATTCCGAAAAAGGGGAACCAACTCTTCTAAAAAAAGTCATATCAAATTGTTGTTCAGAAAAATACAAAATCTTGTGTTGATTTAGTCTACCAAGTTTGAAAAAGATCACTTTAAATCTAGGAAGAGATTTGTGGACAAGTAAAACTTACATCCCATGGAAAGCCAGATGTTCTACCATAATACATTACATTTATATTTTTGATTGGCTTATAAAAAAGGGACAAGAGAACCAATGTCCTGGTTTTTATTGATGGACAGGAATCTTTCACAGATACATATAATTGTTCACAAAACATTAAAAAAAAAAAAAAACCCAATGGAACACATCAACATCTAGAATATAAGGTTTATCTGCCAACTTACCCCAATTCTATCAAACATGTCACAGTGGAAACAATCACATTGTTTACTTGGCCTTACTAATTAAACCTAATCTTCTGAAAGTTTATTGCCTTACAGCATTATCCATGAGGCTTCAATAATTTACAAAAATAAAATTTCACTCTGAAAAATAGATTATGATATTGTAAGAAAATTATTTGGGAATGTGTCTTAATGGAGATGATCAGATAAATAATGCATTTAATACAACATTCACTCCTTCCATGGTTCAGAAATCTGCACACCTAGTTCAATGGTTATAAATTGTTTCCACTAAAAATGAATGCTGTAGAATTTCATGTATTTGCCTACATTATCATTAATACTCAGGATATTAACACTAAGTACATATCTGCAATTCCTACTGTATTCTTTAAAATTTCTTTTATGTTCTTAAATTAGCTTGTTTTTTAAAAGTTCTAGAGGGAGAAGAATAAAGACTTAAATACTAGTTGTCAATTAATTTAAAAGTTTATTTTATGCAAAAGAGCTTTGCAGAATTGTATATTTACATCCATATAATTGATTGTCGCACAAATCAAAAGGAAAGGTATATTGATTCCAACCTAAAACATCCTTATAGCAATGATTTAAATGAAAGTCTGTCAGATAAAGCACATCCTAATATGTATAATAAGCCTAGGATCAAGTTCAGTTTGGCAGTATTTTTTGGGTTGTAGATTCCTTGACGAAACTTTCGATCTTCTTGGAAAGCCATAAATATTGTCAGCACTGGTAGAAACATCCACTTTGAACAATGAATTCCCATTAGGCAAAAAATTGTGTATGGTGCAAACACCAACACAACATATAAAAGGTATGATCCTGTCTTTCCTAATAAAATGGCAAGAGTTACAATGCCAGCTTTTTTGTCAGATATCATGTCTCGTGTATTGTTACAGTGCAATATGGCTTCTGTGTTCAATGCGAGTGGAAAGGCATATAACATAGGAACTAAGGAGAGGTACCCAGTCTGTGATAAGTACGAAAATATCACTGTCAATGGTCCAAAAGTAAGCATGATCAAAATGTCACCAAGTGCTATATATTTTAGTCCTAATCCTCCAGTATACAGGAAACTGCTAGAGAGTCCTCCAAAGTATATCAATGCTAAATGTTCCATTCTTGCTGGAGAAATGAGAGTTAGAATAAAGAATCCCATACATCCAAATATATAAAACACACCACCTAGTGTGGCGACGTCATCGGGTGTGAGGATCATATCTACCAGAGTTCTGTCATCACTATTGACTTTCTTGTCAATTCCTCTCACGTAATCAAAATAGGTGTTCACAAGGTTACCGGCTGCATGTACAGACAGAGCTGTCAAACAGGTGATGATGAAAACTGACAGGCTAAACTCCTCCGATGTTTTATAAGCCAATGTGCTGCCAAGAGCTACTGGCGTAAATGAAGCCGTAAACGACCATGGCCTTAAAGCGACTACATATTGCTGAAATTGTCTCCATACGGCCTCTTTGCTAAGAAAATGTGCCTCTGAATTATTGCGCTGGGCGTGCTTCTCCACACCATTTGGCACTGACGCCATTCTCGTAAATGTATCCACATACAAGTCACCGGTGATATTGCATGCTCAAAACAGGAAGTCGGGAAATCAGTTTACCGAAACTCGCGTAGAAGTCATGTGACGTACAGGCGACGATATATATTTTCTGGTCATTTCCTCTACAAAAGATTTCATTATTACACTTTCACAAAGGCATTCTTTAAATTATCACACAGAATTTCTTAAAGCATATCAGTAGGCATGAAAACCATTTTGAAACACAGTGTTTAGGATCAAGAATTTGTGATGTATTATGAAATCTCGCGAGATCTAGGACATACCACTTCCGGTAGAAACACGAGCGAGCAGCTGAAACTGTGTTTACTATGCAAGAGCGAACGTTGTTTGCATGCTCCGGGCCATTTGTAAGTTGATGAACTATGTGGTACCGTACCGTCGACATGATGAAATATGTTTTCGGATTTCATCATGGTATTTTGAATACTGCTTGGATAGGTGCTCTAACCTACCTCTCCGAACACGACACACGCCTCAAAATACAGACATATGATATAATATGGATATGTTTTCAGTTGAAAATGATAATTTATTTTACAATTTGATACGGCACAGAATGTCTGTACACGTTTATGTTGTTGGGATTCAATCCATGCAACGTATGGCATTTTAAAAAAAGAGCTTGGATTCCAGATTGTTGTTTCTATTTCCATATCCTTGCCCATATTTTTTCATTATTTAGCAGGTTGACAGTTAATTTCACTCTGAACATCTTAACATGCACCTAGTCAAACAATGGAGCTCATATTCATAAGTAGTCGGAAGCAATGCATGTGTTTCAATTCCTTCTAAGGTGAACTTTGTTAGCATTCAGTTGATGGCATTTATGATCAGTAATATTTTCATGATACTGAGCAGCTTATATTGTAGCACTTAGTCAACAAGGGTTAAATCCCGGGGTCATGTAAGTCACTGGTATTTACCACAAACCCAGGTCAGTGAATTGGCTGTGGGCAGGTTAAGTTTTAATTATAAACATGTCCTCAGTGACATGCATATATCAGTAACTTTGTATATTTGTATCAGTGATTTTGTGCATAAGGCGTTCTTGTAATTTCCTGAAAATACTATCATTAACATGTTTGCTATATACATGTATTATCATAAAGGTTTGGTAAATGATAAAATGAAGTAAGGAAAGTTGTTTTCAGGTTTTGGGAAAAAAATACAAAATTTATAAGAATATTGGTAAATAATATACAGAGTTGATTTCTATGAATATAGTAGCTAGATTACATTTATTTTCATAAGACTCTTGATATTTATTGTCTGTATACATATATATTTATGTTCACAACATTATTGATATCAAATTCTTCAATGTTTCAGTTAAGGACAATGAGTTGACATTTGGCTGAGCTGATCAATTTCAAACATCATAATGGCAAACACAGCAGCTATGAACCAGTTCATTACGGGGCTGAAAAGCCGGTCAGAGGACGTGCGAGTCAAGGCAGCAAATGACCTCCACCATTTTGTCAGCACTGAGTTAAGAGAGATGCAATTAGAAGAGCACACATCATTCATGGATGAGTTTAATCATCATATATTTGAAATGGTTTCCAGCTCTGACCTAAATGAGAGGAAGGGAGGCATCTTAGCTATTGGTAATTCATCATTGGGGGAGAGCAAGCCTTTTTTAATCTCAGACTTTGAAAATTTCATCTTTCCAATTTTAGATTACATTTCAGTCAATTGTTTACCTTCATTTGACAAAAAAAAAAAATTGCTTTGCTATTACATTTCCTACATTTTGCCTGAAATGAGGATTATTTTAATACATGTGCCTAATAGTGACTAAATAAATATGGAATTGAGCAAAAGTAGACAGGTTAAGTCTAAATATTGTCTTCCCTCTTTCCCAGTGAGTCTGATTGCAGTGGATGTTGGTAATATGTCCACAAGAATTAGCCGTTTTGCCAACTACCTGAGAAATTTGTTGCCTTCAAGTGATGTAAGTGCTATGGAAATGGCTGCCAAAGCAGTCGGAATACTAGCTTTATCTTCTGGGACGTCTGCAGCAGACTATGTTGACTTTGAAGTGAAACGTGCTCTTGAGTGGCTAACTGGTGATAGACAGGAGAATAGGAGACATGCAGCTGTAAGTTTTCTTATAAATGTTTTAGATGGGTGATAAACCAGGCATAATGTTTATTAAAATTTCACTGTTTAAATTCAGTTGAAAAAATTGTTGGGAGTAGATTTTTTACCTGATATGATATGTAGATTCTTTGTCAAAATTCATTTGGTCATTTTGGAATATTCACAAAGGTACAAAAAGGATTTATCTTGAAAACTGCTGAGTGAAAATGCTAATTATAGTTCTTTTTTACAACAATTTTGTAACAAGAAACAGATGGTCCTTGGTAAAATTATTCACTGTATTGCCTGAAGTATGAAGTGTTACACCAGATCCATGAGAGTTCATTTGTGTTGACTTTTCATTAACAGGTACTTGTCCTGAAAGAACTGGCTGTGTGTACACCCACATTCTTCTTTCAGCAAGTTCAGCAATTCTTTGACTCAATTTTTACTGCTATCAGAGATCCCAAGGTAGGATATTATCAATTTTACCTACATTTGTAGTAATTTTGACCAAATAATGAAAGCATAGAATGTTATTTCTTCACCAATAAAGCTTAATATCTGTAAGTTTTTATTTTTATGCATGTATATCATTTACATTGCATTCTTGTACTCTAGCCAAATGTGGTGTTTATCTACAAGTTTCCTGTTGGCAAGTTAGCATTGATCCTTGTAATCACACATGGTATCAACATTAGTTGCAGAATGGTAAATTGACTCTATCTGTTTGATACCTATTGACATATCACATTCAAGTTTCCTTGAAGAAAACACCCATATTCAGTACATACTCATTTATTATGATATAGATATTTTTCTACCTTGTAGCAAAGTGTAAAAGATAAACAGTGAAAGAAAGCGCACATTCTTTACTTCTCATAAAACTATATATTTTCATTTTCTGATAACATTGTATTTGTAGCCAATCATTCGAGAGGGAGCTGCTGCAGCTCTACGAGCTGCTCTTGCTGTGACATCACAGAGAGAGTCCAAAGCCACACAGAGGTCACAGTGGTATAGGGTAGGTAGTTCACGCAGAGGTCACAGTGGTACAGGGTAGGTAGTTCACACAGAGGTCATAGTGGTACAGGGGAGGTAACTCAGAGGTCAAAATAGATAATTTATTGATTTTTTTTCTAAGAGACTTGCTAGAAATTGTGAATACACCATATCCTTTGAAGTAGACTCATCTAGATTTTCAAAATGATGGTTAGGCTATAATAACGTTTCTACCAAAATCACTGTAGAAATGGTATTTGGCTTGATCTATCTCTATTATAACTAAAATTTCATAAAACTGCATGAAAAGACAGTGCACTGAAAGTATTCTGATTTTCAAATTAGCATTATTTTCTCAAAAAGGAAATTATTGTTTCAATTAAGGAAAAATGTTTTCTTATTATTTAAAGCAATGTTATGAGGAGGCAGAAAAACAGTTTGATGAGCTTCAGAGTCGTGAGAAAAAGCTTTCAAGAGATGACTGGGCGCATGGGTCCCTTCTTATCATCAATGAACTACTACGATGTAGTAATGTAGAAGGAGAGGTAAGTTTTCCATTGAACTGCTAAAAACTCTTTAATGGTGACCGTAAATGAAAACCCAAGAATTTTATTTGAGTACCAGATAATTGAATTACAATGGACTGTAATATATTTATATTATGATTGTCAGAAGCTGTGATGAAAATAAATTGTAATAAGTTTAGATATTTTCATTTTAGTGAAAGTATCAGAGATTTCATTTCAGAGTATGTATTTAGGTTTTAAGATAACTTAGACTCAGTAATACACATTATCTCAGACTGATAATGGGTTTTGACCAATGCCACTGTTATGAAAACATACTTCAGGCATTATCAAAAATAACTCAACAGATGGAAATAGAAGACTTTTTCATGTTTGTTTCTAAACACCAAATAACCAGTGAATGTGGATCTTGATTTCAGAGGTTAAGAATAGAAATGGAAGAGATTACTGTACAACAATACCTACATGAAAAGACTGTTAAGGTAAGATTTATTATTTGGAGTAATATTCTTTTTACTCGCCATATGTATTTTGGTATATTCTGCATCATGCTATCATTTATAACCACGAATATAGCAAAATGAAATCCCCTTCCAATATTACTTACAGTATGTGGATTATGTCTGTCAGACAACTAAGGGAATACAGCCTCTGTATTGTAACCGACATCTTTACGTCTCCACCGTATCTCACTCCATGTTTTTACTGGTCATCAAGAGTCAATACTGCCACTGCCATGCCAAGCCTGACAAATTCTGTGGGGATCTAAAACCATGTTTATCCACTTCCATTAAACATGAAGTTTTTAATTTTTCTCCATTGCTTTACCGCTGAATAAGGTAACGAAACCTCCATATTGGTGGAATTGAAGACTTGTGTCCCTGATTTTCAAAGACTCTTCTCTCTGAGTACATTGTTTTGGACACACTGTAATCCCAAATTCAAAATTCAAAAAGGGAACACTGCTGAATTTATAACCTCCTTAACTTTAGTCTTATATGGATCTCAACCAAGATTGTCACAAAGCATTCTTGGAAACTAACAATAAATTCTTGTGTAAGGTAAGAGTGTAGCTTCTGGCTTTAAACCAGAACAGTTGGGCAATTTCAGGCTTCTTCGGAATAGTAGATATCACAACAAGCTTTTAATGAAGAATTCTTTGGATTAGGAAATTTATTGTGACATGAAGGAAGAGTTATTCTCCTGGATACCAACACCAATGTAACAAATTATTCCCAGTGTGACTATTTTGTTCTGGTATATATAATCCAGGTTTGTGTCCCTTGCCTTGTCATAAACATATTTACAGTTGTCGAGAAGAAGTGTCTAAACAGGAGGAAATGGATGTTAAATGATGACAGTATTTGTATGTTTATTCCTTAGGAAACTTCCAAACACAAATCACAAGGAAACGTCATTGCTCTGCAACAGCTGCAACAAAAATCATCTCCCCTGACTAACTTTGGCATGGGATCTCGACAAGTTCCACAGAAAATACCCTTTTTTGAAAGCCATTCCTGTAAAGACTTGATGACTGCAAACTTTGATAAGGTACTACTGAAGAAATAATTGTTACAATTCTTAGTAATGTAAATATGAATGTCTTTGTCAAATGTTTCTGTTCATCCAGTTTGTTAAAATTCCTGACATTTAATGCGATATAATCGGAAAGTCTAATTTTCATTTCTTGATGGTAAAATCTATATAAACCTAAGTATGACTGTAACTTGGTTCAATATTTTTAAAAATGACATAATTGCTGTAAAGCATTGTGATTTTTCTGTAGGTATGCACCTTAATTTTGAGGAACAAAGGAAGTCGCTCAACATATGTTCAACAGACTCTGCTGATAGTGTTTCCAAGACTTGCAGCTTTCGATCATACCACCTTCTCTAGACTGTGAGTTCAACTTAACAAATTCTACCTAAAATTAAATGAGATCTTTTGAATATTCCAGGTTAAGGACAACGTGACAGATCATTTTAGTCCAACTTAAGCTGTAATGTCATCCAACAAAATAAATAACGGATCAAATTCTAGAAGTTATTGTTCAGTGTTATCTACATACAGGAAACAAACCTCAGATATAATTGTGAGTTTTGAGAAAAGTTAGTATCATGCAAAAAACACTAGAGGTGGGTGATTGTGTAACAGATGTGCATTTTTCCTGCACAGTTGTTGAAAAAATTTAATTGTGAAATCCATAGATAATAATGTATTTATCAGAGTATAGATTTAATATTTCAACTCTGAATAGCAGATACTAATATCATTGATTGAGATCAATGTTAATGTTGCATTTTCATTCAGTTTGGTAAATACTTGACATACCTGTTGAAAGTGGAGTCTACTGCAAAATCATTAACTTTTTTGGGAGATTTTTTTCATTGAATTCATGAAATTATGTACAAATGAAAGTTGTCATGGATTGCCAAGTGAATTTTGTGTGCAAGATTTATTCACGAAATCAAGTGCAAACAAACATGTATATTTTGGAAAACCACAAACTTTGAGCACCACAGAAATGTACAATTTTACAGTATATTTATGTGAGGAAAAGTATTAATCACAGAGGTGATTGGAATCAAATATTTAATGATTTGATATTCCAGGTATCTTGAAGAAACAATAAACTTTCTGCTATTAACATTGAAAAACTCCAAGGAAAGGACAGCAGCATTTCAAGCATTAGGCCTTTTGTCCATCTCGGTAGAGGAAGACGTTTCTAAACATCTTGGCAAGATTATGGAGGTCCTCAAAAACTCCCTTCCATCTAAGGATCTGCCTGCCAAGTAAGTGCATATACAATTCTACTTCACTAACAAAGAAAGGGAACTCTGGATGCTTCAGGTTTTATTTACAAGGTCTATTTTGCTGATGCAGAGTTATGACATATCACATTTAAGGTCCAACAATATTCGCCCCCATGCACCATTGAGAAGTGCTGGAAGATTGAAACAGGTGTTTGATGCATTTTAATTCATTGTCTGGCTCTTCTGTGTCTATTACATAAATTCTTATTTGAATTAAAAATTGTTATTCACTTAAAATTTTTTTAATACAATCTGTTTAATTGAAGTTTTTCTGTTTGTTTATAATTTTTTTAAAAACTTAAAATGCAGAACTATAATTAGCTATAAACTCTTTCTAATATTGAATACTCTTTATATTGTAACAGGAAAATGTTATACAATATTACCGGTAATCATGTTTCTAGGAAGCACAAGAGTTTCGTTGTGGACCCAGCAGTGTTTACATGTATCAGCATGCTGGCACGAGCGGTCGGGCCTAGGATGACAAAGGATGTCCGAGACATGCTGGACTCTATGCTAGCTACCGGACTGAGGTGACATTTTTCTCACAGTTTCTTCTTTAAAACAAGATTTAATGAAAATACTCTTTTTGATTGCTATTCTAATGTGTCTCTAAGTGTTTATCACCATACAAATATTAATGAAGTTAATGATGGGGTACCACCTTGTTTAAGAGACGTATGACTGGTTTATTCTAGCCCTGCTCTCACTGCTGCTCTGAAGGACCTTGCCACTCAAATCCCTCAGCTCAAAAAAGAAATTCAAGATGGCCTACTGAAAAGTCTATCCTTGATCCTGATTGGACGCCCTTTGAAACACCCAGGGGCTCCAAACTCGCCAACATTGCCTATACCAGTGTCAGGTGAACATTTCATTTTTTTAAAGCTGATTTTTGTTTTGTTGAGTTTCAGTTCATTGTAATATATCTGATATGAATGGTAATTATCTAGAATAGTTAATTTCATAGCACAACTTACTGATTTGTAAAATTCCATTAAAAAGTCACACCCAAAGTTGTTGGAGTAATCATTATAAGTTTGTAGAACAATACATGAAGATATTCATCATTGTATGGTTAAAGAATTAAATTTTCACTTTTGAACTTCTGTAGAAATGAGTACAGCCTGAATTTGGTGATAATTGTTTTGGTAAGTCTATAGGTTTTGGTGGCTCACAGTTACTACATACTTTATATAATTAGCAGATGATAATCATCACTGTTCTCATTGATGGATTTATTGTATTTCAGGATCTATTGGAAACCTTGCAGAAACACAGGACGTTACAAGCATAACTTTAGCACTCAAGACTCTAGGAAGCTTTGATTTTGAAGGTTAGTACAGGTTTTGATATCTTTAAACAGCAAATTGTTATACAGAACTGGATGAAACGAGCTGCATGATATAAAAATGATTAAGGGATTGTTGTACTGTTTTCATTTTAGAAAAGCATGTTCTTGATTTCTTCTTTAGATCAATAATTAACATCATCAATACATATAACAAGGATTATCATGACTCATGGAATTATCTGAAGGAGTTCAGCAGAAGATAGGTTCCACAATCATACTTTCTACTGGCAACTAGAAATATTCTGGTTTTTTTAGGTCATTCGTTGACCCAGTTTGTGAAGCACTGTGCAGAACATCACCTTTCCAGTGAGTTCAAAGACATTCGAATGGAAGCAGTCCGTACATGTGCCAGACTGTTGTCACCACTGCTGGTGGTAAGTACCACAGTATACCACTGCTTGTGGTAAGTATCCCAGTATACCACTGATAGAAGCAGTCCATACATGTGCAAGGCTGTTGTCACCACTGCTGGTGGTAGGTACCACAGTATACCACTGATAGAAGCAGTCCGTACATGTGCAACGCTGTTGTCACCACTGCTGGTGGTAGGTACCACAGTATACCACTGATAGAAGCAGTCCGTACATGTGCAAGGCTGTTGTCACCACTGCTGGTGGTAGGTACCACAGTATACCACTGATAGAAGCAGTCCGTACATGTGCCAGGCTGTTGTCACCACTGCTGGTGGTAAGTAGCCCACTATACCACTGCTGGTGGTAAGTACCCCTGTATACCACTGATGGAAGCAGTCTGTACATGTGCCAGGCTGTTGTCACCACTGCTGGTGGTAAGTACCCCTGTATACCACTGATGGAAGCAGTCCGTACATGTGCCAGGCTGTTGTCACCACTGCTGGTGGTAAGTAGCCTTGTGCCAGGCTGTTGTCACCACTGCTGGTGGTAAGTAGCCTTGTGCCAGGCTGTTGTCACCACTGCTGGTGGTAAGTAGTCTTGTGCCAGGCTGTTGTCACCACTGCTGGTGATAAGTAGCCCACTATACCACTGCTGGTGGTAAGTAGCCCTGTATACCACTGATGGAAGCAGTCCGTACATGTGCCAGGCTGTTGTCATCACTGCTAGTGGTAAGTAGCCCTGTATACCAGTGATAGTTGTAGGTATCCCAGTATACCACTGCTTGTGGTAAGTATATCAATAGACATCAGTAGCCAACTGGGACCAGACTACCTGGAGAAAACCCATGTACATTACAAATATTTCACCTAACCACCCATGTACCTTTGCCAGTTTTCTTTGATTCACTTAGCTATTCTTAAACTTAAAAGTAGGGAGTAATTAATGTAATGTTTTGTTTATATGTGTGACAGGCCATCTGGCTGCCTTTCTTGTGTGCAAGTCAAAATGCTCCTTGAATTTATTATAAAATATTAGATTTGATTACATCTTTAGATAATGATTTAAAGTTCTGCTGTTAGCAATGATGTTGAAAAAATATCCAGGAATTTATCTTATTTTACTATGTATAGAGAGTATAAGAGGAGATTTAACTTTCTATGTATAGATAGTATAAGAGGAGATTTATTTTCTATAAATAGATAGTATAAGAGGAGATTTAACTTTCTATAAATAGATAGTATAAGAGGAGATTTAACTTTCTATGTATAGATAGTATAAGAGGAGATTTAACTTTCTATAAATAGATAGTATAAGAGGAGATTTAACTTTCTATGTATATATAGTATAAGAGGAGATTTAACTTTCTATAAATAGAGAGTATAAGAGGAGATTTAACTTTCTATGTATAGATAGTATAAGAGGAGATTTAACTTTCTATGTATAGAGAGTATAAGAGGAGATTTGACTTTCTATAAATAGATAGTATAAGAGGAGATTTAACTTTCTATAAATAGATAGTATAAGAGGAGATTTAACTTTCTATGTATAGATAGTATAAGAGGAGATTTAACTTTCTATGTATAGATAGTATAAGAGGAGATTTAACTTTCTATGTATAGATAGTATAAGAGGAGATTTAACTTTCTATAAATAGATAGTATAAGAGGAGATTTAACTTTCTATAAATAGATAGTATAAGAGGAGATTTAACTTTCTATAAATAGATAGTATAAGAGGAGATTTAACTTTCTATAAATAGATAGTATAAGAGGAGATTTAACTTTCTATGTATAGATAGTATAAGAGGAGATTTAACTTTCTATAAATAGATAGTATAAGAGGAGATTTAACTTTCTATAAATAGATAGTATAAGAGGAGATTTAACTTTCTATAAATAGATAGTATAAGAGGAGATTTAACTTTCTATGTATAGATAGTATAAGAGGAGATTTAACTTTCTATAAATAGATAGTATAAGAGGAGATTTAACTTTCTATAAATAGATAGTATAAGAGGAGATTTAACTTTCTATAAATAGATAGTATAAGAGGAGATTTAACTTTCTATGTATAGAGAGTATAAGAGGAGATTTAACTTTCTATGTATAGAGAGTATAAGAGGAGATTTAACTTTCTATAAATAGATAGTATAAGAGGAGATTTAACTTTCTATAAATAGATAGTATAAGAGGAGATTTAACTTTCTATCAATAGATAGTATAAGAGGAGATTTAACTTTCTATGTATAGATAGTATAAGAGGAGATTTAACTTTCTATAAATAGATAGTATAAGAGGAGATTTAACTTTCTATAAATAGATAGTATAAGAGGAGATTTAACTTTCTATGTATAGACAGTATAAGAGGAGATTTAACTTTCTATGTATAGATAGTATAAGAGGAGATTTAACTTTCTATAAATAGATAGTATAAGAGGAGATTTAACTTTCTATAAATAGATAGTATAAGAGGAGATTTAACTTTCTATAAATAGATAGTATAAGAGGAGATTTAACTTTCTATAAATAGATAGTATAAGAGGAGATTTAACTTTCTATAAATAGATAGTATAAGAGGAGATTTAACTTTCTATACATAGATAGTATAAGAGGAGATTTAACTTTCTATGTATAGAGAGTATAAGAGGAGATTTAACTTTCTATAAATAGATAGTATAAGAGGAGATTTAACTTTCTATAAATAGATAGTATAAGAGGAGATTTAACTTTCTATACATAGATAGTATAAGAGGAGATTTAACTTTCTATAAATAGATAGTATAAGAGGAGATTTTACTTTCTATAATAGGTAATGTTAGAAATTTAACATACAACATTTTGTGTTGCTATTAGCTTATAATATGTTACAGCTGCTGGCCTCTAACCAAGGACAGATCAGTATGGCTGCTATGAACACTGTGGCTGAAGTTCTACACAAACTTCTCGTTGTGGGAATCACTGACACTGGTAATATTATACATATATGATACATTTACCATCCTGTGATCACTTGTAATAACTGTTAAGTTCACTAATGCTGTCTGAGACACCCAGGCCATGTTTATACGGACACATTGGTTTGCTAACATATTTGAAATGTATCGTTTCTGGCATAGATTGGGACAGACCTACAGATATTTATCCAGGTCATGAAAGTCTTCATCAAAGCTTGTCAGAAAACAAAATTAGATCAGTAGGTCTGTATATATTGCATACATGAACAGCCCTGGTCCAACTTGTCAAAGTGATAAATGGAAACAGCCCTAGTTAAGTCAACCCACCAAATTCGGGGAATTAAGGTTATTGTTCTGTTTCTTGGTTATTGTTATTGTTATTTTTCATTTTCTTTCGTCATTTAGTTTCCGCAGCTTATCTCAGAAACTACTTGGTGAATTCTCATGAAACTTTGCATACATGATCAGTATGATGTCTAGTTGTGCACCTTACTTTTTTCTTGGGATTGATTTCCAAGATGGCCACTGCGGGGTGGAAAGTGTGATGACTTCTGCTATAACAGTTGCAATTCTAATTTTATATTACTTTTTTCAAACTAGTAAAAAATAAAAAAAATTGTGGTGTTGATGCATCACACTGATATATCCAATATAATTCTAATAGCTGACATTTCTGTTGTTATTGACAGATTCTGACATTCGTTTCTGTGTATTGATGTCTCTTGATGAGAGATTTGATCCCCATTTGGCCCAGGCTGAAAATCTCAGTGCCCTGTTTGTCGCCCTTAATGATGAGGTGTTTGATATTCGGGAGCTCGCCATCTGTATGATTGGTAGATTGAGCAGTAAAAATCCAGCTTATGTGATGCCATCGCTGCGTAAAACTCTAATACAGGTAAATATGTTTTAATTATAAGACATGCTGTAGATTTAATCTTTTTCAAATACTGACCCAGCAATTTCTTTTTGGAGATGCATAAAAAGTGTGAAAGATTTTACTCAATGAAATTGTTATTATGTTGTTAATAATTTCTAGATAAAGAAGTAGACCTACAGTAATGTTTTATAACATTGTAAATATGTGAGAAAATTTTAAGACAACTTTATCGAAGTAAAAACCCTAATTTTATTGTCATTTCCTTAAAGACGTTTACTGAATTAGGTGAAAACAGCATATCAGTCAGAATTATATACTAAAATTTTGGATATTTATCTGTTGACATTATTTTGATGTATTCCATTTGATAACAGATCCTGACAGAATTAGAACATAGTGGTGTAGGGCGTAACAAAGAACAGGCTGCACGCATGTTAGGCCATCTTGTCGCTAATGCTGCACGATTGATACGACCATATATGGAGCCAATATTGAAGGTGAATAAGCTTTGGAATTCTACATACGATCTTTTATCACCTAATCAGATTGTTATCAGTGAATTCGCCCAAGTAATATTTGTTGGTTTATGTCCTTAGTGTTCATTGATTGTGCTTGTAAGAAATTGATTATGATGTCGTATTATGGATAATTATGTTAAGTCACAAATTGAAAATGGTGCAAAAATTATGGCTGCCTTTGTTTTATTTTGCCATCCACATTTTGATTTTAAAAGTCGCAAAATGTTATGTATATGAAATATCATAAATTTGTTCTCAATTTTCAGATGAGATCTTAAGAAGTTTTTTATTTTTCTTATCGACGCTCACAAAAATAAAAACTTTCTCTCGTTTGAAGAAAATCTCAAATGAAATTTTTACTAATTCACCTCATTAACACAGGAATCTTTAAAACATACTTACACAGTGTTATTGGAATTCATAATTATTGTTTGAATTTGTTTTAGGTATTACTTTCTTTTATAATATTTGTTGTGGTTGATTGACTAGGTATTGATTCCAAAGCTGAAGGACTCGGACCATAACCCGAGCGTTACTATCAGTGTGCTGGCTGCTATTGGAGAATTGGCACAGGTAAAATGTTTACTGAAATAATAAATGAGGTCATTGTGTCAGTGTCACCAACTCACCTGATATCACCAGGTCATCCTGATATCAGCTATATCATATGATATAATTGTTATTGATAAAGATAAAGTGTTTTAAGAAAAACCCAATAAAATATCACTGAAACAGAAATAAACAAAACAGACTGTCTATTTTAATATGTGATTATGTTGTTTTAACATTAGGTGACAGGAACAGAGATGAGAAAACGCATGGATGAGCTCCTCCCTATAATCATTGATATGCTGCAAGATTCCTCCTCGCTACAGAAAAGGGAGGTAAGTCAAATGTTTTAAGAGAACTTGAACAAGACTATCAGTAAAGGAAACTAGGACCACATAATGATTTTGATTGTCAGCCTTGAACTATATCAGTGAAATGGCAGTAAATTCTTTATTGCGAAAGATGCAAGAAGTGATGAAGTGTGTGTCATTCTAAGTATCATGGTCTAGTATCAATGAAATGAGAAAAAAGCACATGAAAAATTAAATATAAAAAGTACGAAGAGCAGTTATTTCATTTACAAAAGAGGGTTACTATACATAATATATATTTGTAATTTTTTTCCTTTTTGTTTTATAGACTGCACTTTGGACTTTGGGACAGCTGGTTGAGAGTACAGGCTATGTTATTGAAATGTACAAGAAATATCCCAATCTTCTGGAGATTCTGCTGAACTTCCTTAAAACAGAACAGTCACCAGGAATACGCAGAGAAGTAAGGTTGATCTGTTCGAAGTTCAGTGTTGTTGCTGTTGTGAATTTTACTTATTTTGGAATTTTTATGAAAAATTTGTACACCGATGATGTAAGAGAATATATTGGATAGAAGTGTGTTTCAGGATTTAAAAGTTCAAGGTCACCTTTCCTGTTTATAGAAAATCATCAATAGATTCATTGTAAGGTAGAAGGACGAAGGTGATAGATTTAAGCTGTTATTGATAGCAGGTAAATATTGGTGATATATTTCTACAGAAGACTCATCAAAACTAAGTGATATTCTAGCAGAACAATTCTCAAAGATAGGACAACATGTCAAGGGCCAAAGTCAGTTTGATAGACAAGTTGTCAGATTACTGACATTGGTCAATGAAACAACGAACAGTGATAGGAAAGAGACCTGTAACCAAGGAAACAGCCAAAATATGACAGAAAGAAGCTGGTTTTATAAGATATACCATAGTTTATTATGAGTTATTTGTTTACACAGGTGATCAGAGTACTGGGACTACTGGGTGCCTTGGACCCACACAAACACAAATTGAACCTGGGTCTGATTCAACAGACAGAGGCCTCTGCTGTACTCAGCATGTCTGACCCAAAAACCAACCAGGAGAATCAACAACCAGGTAGGTATATATGTCTGACCTGGAAACTGACTAGTCACCAGGGAAACCAACAAATGGAGGTTCTGACCTGGAAACTGACTAGTTACAGGGGACACCAACAAACGGGAAGGTTCTGACCTGGAAACTGACTAGTCACCAGGGAAACCAACAAACATGGAGGTTCTGACCTGGAAACTGACTAGTTACCAGGGAAACTAACAAACAGAGAGGTTCTGACCTGGAAACTGACTAGTTACAGGGGACACCAACAAACATGGAGGTTCTGACTTGGAAACTGATCATTTGAATATAAAAATGGTACAATGAGCAATCACATCTTACATACCTTGACTGGTTTTTTGTCATCTGATATCTGACTTAGAATCAGATCAGGTTTCGATGTTAAAGTGATGTGAGTAGGGGTCACAGTATTCCCTATCGTCTGTGTTTAGTGGATTTATTGTACAATCAGATAAATATCCAATCTGAATTCAGAATATCCAAGATAACACAGTTTATTTTAATTTTGTTATTTGTAATATAAGATTTTATCATACTTGATAGTGGGGATACCTTATTTTTTGTAGAAAACACCAGTGAGATGTTAGCTAACATGAGCGCTACGACCACGTTAGAGGAATTCTACCCAGCCATCGCCATAGGGACTTTGATGAGGATAATCCGTGACCCAACTTTATCTCAGCACCACACAATGGGTGTACAGGCAATCACCTTCATCTTTAAAAGTTTGGGTATCAAATGTGTACCATACATACAACAGGTGATCCCGGCATACCTCACAGTTATACGCACAGCAGAGTCTAACTTCAGAGAGGTAAGTATGGTGTACTTAGACTTAAATTACAGTTTTAGGCATACTGTTATATCAAACATTAGCAGTCATATTAAAGTTTTAGACATATTGTCGTTTTTATTGTAAGCAACTATGACCTTTTTTTCTCTTTAACAATTTTGGTTAGAGTTTTTATTCTAGATCTATTACAATTTTTTTTAAGTTTATTTAAATCTTAGAGTGACAAGTATATCTTTTTTAAGTTTGATTTCCCTCAAATCATTTTAATGCATTCTTCCACTTTCTTTCTTTTCAGTTCCTGTTCCAACAGCTTGGGGTAATAATAGCCATCGTCAAACAACACATAAGGAATTATCTAGATGATATCTTCAGTCTTATCAAGGTATACTCACTATTGTCATTGTCTTAACTTAATTCTTGTTAGAAAATCTACTCCACACCAGGATACCAATATTTTGTCTGTGGTCAGTTAGAGTAGATCTAAGTAAACAAATACATGTGTTTGTCTTCCTCATCTGACATTTATAAATGCTACAAACAAAAACAGGTAATTACATCTACATAAGGATTCCATAGACTTTCCAAAATCTTTTTTTTTCTAATTTCATCAAGTTCTTCCTAAATGTATACACCATTTTGCATAGATAAAAGTACACGATATAAAGGGAAAAACATTATTTCTTAGCTTTCTTAAATATTCTTCTGATAAAGACACTGTTACTGAATGTTCACAGGACTACTGGACCCCCAACAGCTCTATGCAGAATACAATTATCTTGTTGGTGGAACAGATCGTGACAGCCCTGGGTACTGAGTTCAAGGTCTACTTACCACAGATTGTACCACAGATGCTGAAGGTCTTCATGCATGACACGAGTCAGCACCGAGTTGTCACGGCCAAGGTTCTGATATTGGATTTCAATAACAATGTTACGATTTGTGGAAGGAGTGTGTAATGTGCTGTTTTTGGTGGTGGAAGTCTAGAATGTCGTTGTATGTGTAGTGATATTTTTGTTGTGTTCAGGAATTAGACATTGTTGCCTATGGTAGAAGATTATGTTATGATGTGTGGAAAAAGTGTGTATTGTGCTATTTTTGGTGATGGAAGTCTAGAATGTCATTGTATGTGTATGAATTAGACATCATTGCCTATGGTAGAAGATTATGTTATGATGTGTGGAAGGAGTGTGTATTGTGCTATGTTTGGGGGTGGAAGTCTAGAATGTCTTTGTATGTGTAGTGATATTTTTGTTGTGTTCAGGAATTAGACATCGTTGCCTATCGTAGAAGATTATGTTATGATGTGTGGAAGGAGTGTGTATTGTGCTATGTTTGGGGGTGGAAGTCTAGAATGTCGTATGTGTAGTGATATTTTTGTTGTGTTCAGGAATTAGACATCGTTGCCTATGGTAGAAGATTATGTTATGATGTGTTGAAGGAGTGTGTATTGTGCTATGTTTAGGGGTGGAAGTCTAGAATGTCGTTGTATGTGTAGTGATATTTTTGTTGTGTTCAGGAATTAGACATCGTTGCCTATGGTAGAAGATTATTACTGTGTTGCTTCCATTGATAGGAGAGGTATTTCTTATTGATAGAAGTTAGCATGGATAAAAATTGTTGATCCTTAAAAAATCACTCGAATCAAAGCTTGGATAAAAATTGTTGATCCTTAAAAAATCACTCGAATCAAAGCTTGGATAAAAATTGTTGATCCTTAAAAAATCACTTGAAACAATGCTTGGATAAAAATTGTTGATCCTTAAAACAATCACTGGAGTCAAAATGGTTTTGAACACATATTGTAAAAAGCACAGGATGTTAAAAGCTGTATTGTCTTGTTTCCTGTTAGAGAAATATGAGACATAATTATAAAAAGTACATTACAAATTGTTGATAATCCACAGTTACTGAATGCGCTCCAGCTGTTTGGTGCTAACCTGGACGACTACCTTCACCTGATCTTGCCCCCAGTGGTCCGACTATTGGATGGAACAGATGTCCCACTTTCTGTCAGAAAGTAGGTTGCTGTTTACATATAACCAAGACTGCATCTGTGTATATATGTGAATTAAATTCTGTTGTTGACTTGTTGAAGCACCTGTTGATATACACTGTACAACAATGTCACGTACCCCAAACAATGGATTAATGTGTTTTGTATCCATGACAGTGAAACATATTTAATACATATATATCTAAGTTTACACCTATCACCACCTATACCAGTTTGTACCTACAATGCAAATTCAGCCGTGAGAGTCCTCTGACACAGTTACTCTCTAAGGTAGTAGGAAACCACAAGGGAAATCCACTTTACCCCTGTAGAAACAGCAAACAGAACATAATTTGTCCTGAGTAGGAGGTAGATCCCTTACAGATTCAAATGGTCTGTATCTTAAACTTGACAGTATATGGCTATTCCTGCCTCACAGCTCCTGAAGCATCCAGTATTAAATTTTTTTATTTTTGTAGTCGAACCCAATCTTCTATCATGAAATTTGATCTTTCTATATTTTAAATGTAAACATATTTCTCCCACTACTAGCGACTGAACCACACGCTAAAGTTCTTCACCTGATATTGCAATAATCCTCTACCAACTGAATTGTTGTGCCCCGCCCCTTGTCTTTAAGAATTCAAAATAATCAGCAAAAGAAAATCAATCAAGCAGTAATAAGCATTGGACAACATTAGACCTTCAGGTAAGTCCCTATTTTAAAAGTTGAAGCGTTTACTTAATTAGATTTTTATTATAGAAAACACTCCACTCTTTCACGGCTCCATATATCCTGGAAATATTAATGATCAAGATTTATGTATCAGTTGCTATCAATAAATACTGCCATGAACGGTCAGCCTTACCTTACAAAGTGGTCACAGCTAACTTACTCAGAAAAAGATTAAATAAATAATCATTTCAGTTTCACACTTGACTGGTTTTTTTTCTGTTTCAGACTTGTGTTACAAACACTTGACTGTCTGTGTCTATTTTATTATCTGTGTCTGTTTTAGAGTTGCATTAGAAACACTTGACCGTCTCACTTACACACTAGACCTGACCGACTATGCGTCGCGGATCATTCATCCCCTTGTGCGAACCTTGGATAATTATCCAGAGTTACAGCCTACAGCTATGGATACACTATGTGCCCTGGTGGTTCAGCTCGGCACCAAGTTTGCCATTTTTCTTCCGATGGTTTACAAAGTCATGACCAAGACTAAAATCATGCATCAACGATACACCATCCTGACCTGTCGGATAATGAAGGTATTCACAGGTTTCTTCTTCACTTGATACATCATGAAGAGATGACGAAGGATAATTGAATTTCTACAGAGGAAATCAATTAATTCTAATTTTTTCTAATTTAAGTGTTTCTACTGAGTCCAACTCTTGAAAGAATTGAAATCATTAGCTGGTTTTTCAGTTATGTTTGTCAACAGACTGTCGTCTCTTGATAAATTGTGCTGAAAGTATTTCTTACTTGGCTCTAAATATATATATATATATATATCGGTAAAAATTTAAAAATAAAAAGATGAAAATTAATCCCAGGAAAGGAGATGTTTGATAAGAAAACGATAGTTTAGCAATTAAATCTTCTTTAAACATGTACAGGCAACATGCTCACATTTCTACTGGTCTACTGTTCAACTTCTCTTTCACTGAACAGATTTTCAAATTGATGCTATTTGCTGAGTGAACTCATTTTCATCACTTCAATGCCTGTTTACAGACTGCTAATTCTCACCACAACAGTTATGGAAATTGAATCTTATAGGATGAGAAATGTAATACGGTATTGGAACTTTACATAATTTTACCATGGTCTGTCGGATTCTGTTGATAGAGTTCTACTATAGCTGAGGAGGAGGAAGATCCAATGTTGTCCAGTCACCGTCGGAATAAGATGAAAGTGTCTGAAACAGGAGAGGCAAGCATTGAAGTAGCAACCATTAAGAAACTACATGTCAGCTTCCCCAACCTCCAGAAGGTAAATCACATATCAACTGTGTCTACTTAATCTTCATTCCAAGATTTTGTTGTGTGAAGAATTAACACTGTTCACTTGCAAACCTCTCAGTCTTATCTTTTACAAATAAGTCTGAAATAGCCATATAAGTGAAAATATCAATGTAACTGTCCAAGTTTTCCAAAGTTAGAATGTTATTGATCAAGTTTGCCCAGACAGCAATGTAACTGTAATAATAGAGAAAATGTAAGTAATTAGAGATGATGTGGTGTGACTGAAGGATGACATTGTTGTTCTCAGGCACTTGGTGCTGGGCGCAGAGAGTCCAAAGAAGACTGGATGGAATGGCTGAGGAGACTGAGTATTGAACTTCTGAAGGAGTCACCCTCTCCTGCCCTCAGATCATGTTGGGCCTTAGCCCAGACTTACAACCCACTGGCTAAGTAAGTTACCCTCCCTTACAGTAAGTCATCCTGCCCTGCCCTCAGATCATGTTGGGCCTTAGCCCAGACTTACAACCCACTGGCTAAGTAAGTTACCCTCCCTTACAGTAAGTCATCCTGCCCTGCCTTCAGATCATGTTGGGCCTTAGCCCAGATTAGCCCAGACTTACAACCCACTGACTAAGTAAGTTACCCTCCCTTACAGTAAGTCATCCTGCCCTGCCATCAGATCATGTTGGGCCTTAGCTCAGACATACAACCCACTGGCTAAGTAAGTTACCCTCCCTTACAGTAAGTCATCCTGCCCTGCCCTCAGATCATGTTGGGCCTTAGCTCAGACATACAACCCACTGGCTAAGTAAGTTACCCTCCCTTACAGTAAGTCATCCTGCCCTGCCCTCAGATTATGTTGGGCCTTAGCCCAGACTTACAACCCACTGACTAAGTAAGTTACCCTCCCTTACAGTAAGTCATCCTGCCCTGCCCTCAGATTATGTTGGGCCTTAGCCCAGACTTACAACCCACTGACTAAGTAAGTTACCCTCCCTTACAGTAAGTCACCCTGCCCTGCCCTCAGAGTATGTTGGGCCTTAGCCCAGACATACAACCCACTGGCTAAGTAAGTTACCCTCCCTTACAGTAAGTCATCCTGCCCTGCCCTCAGATCATGTTGTGTCAGACCTATTCATATATGTCTTATTTAGTAAGGCAATCTCCTCTGTCACAAAGAAGCCTGGGCAAATGATAGACTTGTAGGATTTAATATCTAATCAATTGTAGTCAGATTTCCTTCACGTTGAATTATGATACGTGTAGGTCTGATATGCCTACTGATATAAAACTCACTCCTGCAGTACCAATCAGATGACGGAACCCACTTCGTAAATAGAAAAGCTGCCCTTACTCACTTTGTGTTGTACTCGATCATGCTCAAGCTTAAATTGACTGCATAAGTGAGTCATTTCCCCTGCCCTCGTATTGTTTTACCCTATACAATGATCCCTACAATCTGCTGGCTGAATGATCTAAGAATGGTACATAAAACAATGGTAAAACACTATAACTACCTGGTATTGAATTATTTTGGTATAAAAAATATGATCTGTTTACAGGGACTTATTCAATGCAGCATTTGTCTCCTGCTGGACAGAGCTGACAGAAACCCAACAAGATGAGCTGATACAGAGTCTGGAACAAGCCCTGACGTCCCAGGAGATTCCGGAGATCATGCAGACTCTGCTTAACTTGGCTGAGTTTATGGAGCACTGTGATAAAGTATGTCATTTTTCTCCGAGTTTGTGACTTTCTGGGTTTCAGGATTGTATGTGATGATCTTTTTTGTAATATCTGAAGTTTGACATTTGTTTGACCTTCATTTGACCTTTTCTTGTTATTTCAGGGCCCCTTGCCCCTGGACACATCCCTATTAGGGGGTCGGGCCATGAGGTGCCGAGCCTATGCTAAGGCTCTACATTACAAGGAGGAAGAGTTTCATAGAGGACCAAACACAGAAACCCTTGAAGCCCTCATCAGGTTTGTTTGATGTCATTCGCTGTTTTGCTTAAGTATCATTTGTCTGTAGTGTTTATTGTAAAATTTTCATAGTTATAATTCTGGTCTGCATTACTGTTAATTTTGATGACATTGAAGATCAGAGATGTGTAGTGACTTTTAAAACCCAGTGGAAACAGAGATTTCAAAATATATCATTCTTATGTGTATACTTCAGCATTAACAACAAACTACAACAGCCAGAGTCAGCAGCTGGAGTGTTGGAGTATGCCATGAAGCATCATAGAGCTGATCTGGTAAGTGGTCACAACGTCTAAAGGGAAATAACTCCCATCAATGGTATTCTGGCAAGATCGTAAAAGAATATATTTTCAAATTAATTCTATTTAGAATCTTTAAATCAGTAATGATATGCATGGTAATTGACTTGATTACATATAAATTTTGAAATACATATAATTGAATGTTGTTAGACTGTGTTTTGGTTGGATGAAAATTGTTTTAAAAAAACCCTGTTTATGGCGTTTTTGTTATTGATACCTTGTAGAAGATCCAAGAGGGATGGTATGAGAAGTTACATGAATGGAACAAGGCCTTAGATGCCTATAACCGACGGCAGGAACTGGCCACAGATGACATTAATCTTACCCTCGGCAAGATGCGATGTCTTGAGGCACTTGCAGAATGGTATGTAACAAACCCAGTGTTATTTTGCTTGGGTATATAAATGAGTATCAAACACAAATACTTCTCAGGGAAAGAAAATATTTTCTAACAAGATCGTATTATAGTTATCCAACTAGTTTGTAGATAGGAGTTAAAAGTCCATTTGTTTATACAGGAACCAGCTACACCAGATCGCCTGTGATAAATGGCCAACTGTGAGTGATGACAACCGTGCTAAGATGGCTAGGATGGCTGCAGCTGCCTCTTGGGGATTAGGTAAGTCACCTGATACTCAGAAATATACAACAACACCGGAGCTTTAAGGGTATTGTAATTAATAAAATGAAATATTAAGTGAAAAATTATGTTTCATGGTAATAAGTATTGAATATTCCAGATTTAAACCATTTTGAGGGTAAACCTTCATAGAAATGTGTTTAACAGGCTTGATAGTTGCAGATATAAGCATTTTTGTATATATAGTTATATGATATGTGTGTTACCTTGTAATACAGGCCAGTGGGACAGTATGGAGGAGTATATCTGTCTGATCCCGAGGACAAGTTATGATGGCGCGTTCTATCGAGCAGTGTTTGCCCTACACTCTGAGAACTACCAGCTGGCCCAACAGGTAGGTATAATACATATTCTGTTGTAATTTCAACGGAACAAATTCTATGAAATAATTTTGTATATTTTTTTCTGTATCTTAGGGATCATTGTTCTGCAAAATATTAATTGTTAATTAGCATTCATTTTCAATAGAATAAATTATATTAAATATGTCTATTTTTTCTGTATCTTTGTTCTGCGAAATTCTTTCATGGAATCATTTCTTGGTGATTATCGTTCATATTATGATAATGTTATTGTAAATCTATCAATGTCTGGTGAAATAAAAGGTATCAATCTTCTCCCCAAATAAATATTTACAACAACCATAAAGTCATGTTAAAACTGGGATGAGCTTGAGAAAGTTAAACAGGACATTGATTTAATACTTTCTCTTCAATCCTATCATCATGTCTGATGTGACCTACTGGTAGTTACTTATAATACTTAATGTTGAATGCCATGACGATTTGATTTAATTTTGTAGTTGATATCGCATAAAGGCTCTGTGATACAAAGCCAGATGACAAGATATGCACAAAATTAAAACACAAAGTTTGACGACAAAAACGAAGGTACCAAAATCTAATGTAAATCTCTATATAGAAATATTTGTATATAAATCACTTTAACTTAATGAATATTGTTTTTCAGTGTATTGACAAGGCCCGTGATATTTTAGATACAGAGCTGACCGCCATGGTTGGGGAAAGTTATAACCGGGCGTATGGGGTAAGACTTTAATATCTTTGCAGAAACTGTTGTGGAAACTGCTTAATAACATGTTCCAACGAGACATTCAGTGGTTTCCACTGTATATAAATTGCAGTGTATTTATTAGGTCATCTGATCCTATGGGTCAGGATGACTGATAGCCATTGTTTTTCATTCATTATCATGTGCAGTCCACTGTGTGCTGTCCGCCATGCATAAACTTTCCATTCAATTGGCTTCTTATCGATAACCAGAAAGCTTAGGGTTCTGATATTGGGCATGTACCATGATGGGATGAAGGGCTAACAAGTTTTCTGATAAGAATTACCTTAATGTACTTTCAAGGTCACAGGGATCAAAAATGTCAAAATATTTAAACAAAATCTCAATAACCAAAGAGCCCAGGGTTCTGATACTGGGCTTGTAGCATGCTTAGATAATGGGCTACCAAGTTTGTTGATATTATTGACCTTGACCTACAGGTGTCAAAATCTTTAAACATCATCTCAATAATCAAAAGGTCCATGGTACTGATATTTGGATGTTTTACATCTGTATTGTATCAAATTCTGGCTAATACACATAAACCACAGTTCACAACGTAAGATTTCTTCAGATTTTTAGATCACCTGACACTGGAGTAATTGCATTTAAATGTGAAAAGAATATGATTTCAAGTTTGCAGGAAATGTCTTTACGAACCAACCAATGCCTTCCATGTAAGCAGTAGTGTAGTTCAGTGATTTATTTTAGGCCTAACTGGCCTCTTTTATATACAAGTCTTTTTAGTCAGATGACCCGTAAGGCCTGTTGGCCTCTTGTTACTCATCAAATAACTTTAGATAAGGTTAAGATTAGGTAATTTTTCACTTTTGTTGTAGGCTATGGTCAATGTACAGATGCTGTCAGAACTGGAAGAGGTGATTCAGTACAAACTTGTGTCAGAGAGAAGAGAGACCATTAAAGCTATGTGGTGGGACAGATTACAGGTATATTATGTTCCTACCCAACAGACTGTGATATATAGATGTTTACCAGACAGGGATATAAATCTGTGTTGGGACAGATTACAGGTGTATTATGTTCCTACCCAACAGACTGTGATATATAGATGTTTATCAGACAGGGATATAAATCTGTGTTGGGACAGATTACAGGTGTATTATGTTCCTACCCAACAGACTGTGATATATAGATGTTCACCAGACAGGGATATAAATCTGTGTGTTGGGACAGATTACATGTATATTATGTTCCTACCCAACAGACTGTGATATATAGATGTTTACCAGACAGGGATATAAATCTGTGTGTGTTGGGACAGATTACAGGTATATTATGTTCCTACCCAACAGACTGTGATATATAGATGTTTATAAATCTGTGTTGGGACAGATTACAGGTATATAAATGTGATATATAGTGTGTGTGTGTTGGGACAGCTTACAGGTGTATTATGTTCCTACCCAACAGACTGTGATATATAGATGTTTACCAGACAGGGATATAAATCTGTGTGTGTTGGGACAGATTACAGGTGTATTATGTTCCTACCCAACAGACTGTGATATTTAGATGTTTACCAGACAGGGATATAAATCTGTGTTGGGACAGATTACATGTATATTATGTTCCTACCCAACAGACTGTGATATATAGATGTTTACCAGACAGGGATATAAATCTGTGTGTTGGGACAGATTACAGGTATATTATGTTCCTACCCAACAGACTGTGATATATAGATGTTTACCAGACAGGGATATAAATCTGTGTGTGTTGGGACAGATTACAGGTATATTATGTTCCTACCCAACAGACTGTGATATTTAGATGTTCACCAGACAGGGATATAAATCTGTGTGTGGTGAGACAGATTACAGGTATATTATGTTCCTACCCAACAGACTGTGATATATAGATGTTTACCAGACAGGGATATAAATCTGTGTGTTGGGACAGATTACATGTATATTATGTTCCTACCCAACAGACTGTGATATTTAGATGTTTACCAGACAGGGATATAAATCTGTGTGTGGTTGGACAGATAACACGTATATTATGTTCCTACCCAACAGACTGTGATATATAGATGTTCACCAGACAGGGATATAAATCTGTGGTGGGACAGATTACAGGTATATTATGTTCCTACCCAACAGACTGTGATATATAGATGTTTACCAGACAGGGATATAAATCTGTGTTGGGACAGATTACAGGTATATTATGTTTCTACCCAACAGACTGTGATATATAGATGTTCACCAGACAGGGATATAAATCTGTGGTGGGACAGATTACAAGTATATTATGTTCCTACCCAACAGACTGTGATATATAGATGTTCACCAGACAGGGATATAAATCTGTGTGTTGGGACAGATTACATGTATATTATGTTCCTACCCAACAGACTGTGATATATAGATGTTTACCAGACAGGGATATATAGATGTGTGTGGTGGGACAGATTACAGGTGTATTATGTTCCTACCCAACAGACTGTGATATATAGATGTTCACCAGACAGGGATATAAATCTGTGTGTGTTGGGACAGATTACAGGTATATTATGTTCCTACCCAACAGACTGTGATATATAGATGTTTACCAGACAGGGATATAAATCTGTGTGTGGTGGGACAGATTACAGGTATATTATGTTCCTACCCAACAGACTGTGATATATAGATGTTTACCAGACAGGGATATAAATCTGTGTGTTGGGACAGATTACATGTATATTATGTTCCTACCCAACAGACTGTGATATATAGATGTTTACCAGACAGGGATATAAATCTGTGTGTGGTGGGACAGATTACAGGTGTATTATGTTCCTACCCAACAGACTGTGATATATAGATGTTCACCAGACAGGGATATAAATCTGTGTGTGTTGGGACAGATTACAGGTGTATTATGTTCCTACCCAACAGACTGTGATATATAGATGTTTATCAGACAGGGATATAAATCTGTGGATATCAAAAGCTTGTCTACAATTTTGGGATTTATATTCATATTATATGTATGTGAACACCTTCTCACTTTGTTTTTGTCAGTCAGTTTCTAATCACACATGAAAAGGATATTTTGTATTTCTTTGCAGCTTAGATTCATTCAAGTGTTGTACAGATGGCTGGTATTAGTACAGATATTTTGGATGTTGAAGAATCATTTCCTTGTTAGATGTATTTTTAACCTTAAAGATTTATGTTGTTTGTGGTTATAGGGTTGTCAGAAAGTGGTGGAAGACTGGCAGAGAATCATCCAAGTGCGTTCACTGGTTGTCTCCCCTGTAGAGGACATGAAGACATGGCTCAAATACGCCAGCTTGTGTCGCAAGAACGGACACCTTGTGAGTATTTTAAATATAACATAGTGTGTTTTCTCTGAGAGCTGTTCCAGCAAAATATCTACTCAACTTGAGAATTCTTTGTTTGTCAGTCAGGGACGACCAAGAAAAGTGCATTCATACAAACAGTATCGTATCATAAACTGTTTTATATCCAAGATTTGTCAAACATAGAATTTACTAATGTAACAGGAGGACATATTTATTTCAATGCCCTTATTAGGATCTGAGTCCAGAACCCCTGACTTATAATTACTAGTTTGAATGCTCAACCTATCAAGCTAAAATAAACTTCTTTCTAGCAGAGCTGTGTGTTGGAGATAGTATTTACCAGGGGTACACTTATTTATAGAGTAGTTTGGAATAAGTATTTTACCAGGGGTACACTTATTTATAGAGTCATTTGGAATAAGTATTTTACCAGGGGTACACTTATTTATAGAGTCATTTGGAATAAGTATTTTACCAGGGGTACACTTATTTATAGAGTCGTTTGGAATAAGTATTTTACCAGGGGCACACTTATTTATAGAGTCGTTTGGAATAAGTATTTTACCAGGGGTACACTTATTTATAGAGTCGTTTGGAATAAGTATTTTACCAGGGGTACACTTATTTATAGAGTCTTTTGGAATAAGTATTTTACCAGGGGTACACTTATTTATAGAGTCATTTGGAATAAATGTTTTACTGGAATCCCTCAAACTTAAATCGATTACAATGGATGGCATTCGAAAAATGTTTTATTTCTATTGTATACTTTTTGTTTTAAATTTGATTCCAATTGTCAGATTTTACATGAATTGAACTTGGATCGAATTAGCTTCAACATTCTTAATAGAACACTGACTTTTCTTTAAATAAAAAAAAAAAAGAAGAAGAAATTCAAATTTTTTATTATTGTGTTATAATCATGGTACATTTAAAACAGAAACATATCAAAACAAACAAATTAATGTGTTTGTTAAGGATTATAAGTGTTTATCTGTAATTATCTATGATCCATGTGTTTTAGATATACTGGAAGGCATTTGATACCTATAAGTTTTGTTCTGATTACATGAGACAAGGTCTGGTGATTTATTACAGTATTTGGTATCATATATGCCATATGTTGTCTAGGATCAAATCTGTAATAGACCACCTTGAATCTAGTCTTTGTTGAACCTAGAATCTAGTCTCCACAAAGCCTAGAATCAAGTCTATGATACAAGTCCATACAAATTTATGGCCTGGACGTGGAATTAAGTACCTGTTAGAATCCCATCTATGATATACCATGAATCAAGTCTTTGTTAGACCTAGAATCAAATATTTGTTAGACCTAGAACCAAGTCTTTGTTGCACCTAAGCAAGTTTCTGTCAGACCTGGAAGCAAGCCACTGTTAAACCTAGAATTATGTTTTATGTCAGATCATGAACCAAGCCTCTGTTTTACCTAGAATCAAGCCTCTGTTTGACTTAGAAGGAAGACTCCATGAAATGGACAGTCTTAAGGTGCTTTAGCCAAGCTTCTATTTCTTTTAATTAACAGGCATTGTCTAACAAGACCCTGGTCACACTGCTAGGTGGTGACCCCAGTAAGAGGACCGACCAGCCAATACCAACAGTCAACCCACAGGTTACCTTTGCATACATGAAACATATGTGGAAAAATAACCAGAAAGTAAGTCCCTTTAAATAAGTAATGAAAGCTGTTGTATATTGTAGATAGGATGTAACTTCCACTAAGCAAAGCCTGGAAATTCTTCTAACATCTTCCTGAGCATTATTTGTTTGTTTGCTGGATTACAGCCCCATGATCAGCTTGGGTCACTAGAGAAGATGCGAGAGGCCTGATAAATACTATTCAAAACAATAGGGTTAAAGATTCTTGTCCAAAGTTACAACAATAATGGCACAGGACAGTCCAAGATCTTACCGAGGACTTCAAGCAGGGATCCAACCATACACTTATTATCTTCACTGGATCTTGCAGTGTCTGATGTTCTTCCACCAGAGCTATCTGGCCTCCGATATAACGAACATTTTTAGTAGTTGCCTCTGTGTGCTTTTGTAGGTTTACCTTGTAGACTTGCCTAGTTTCTGGCTACAAACTGGAATAATAGAAAAGTATGAAACTTTTACAGCAAGGAAAACATTTCTGTTCAAAGAAGAGCTGTCCTGATTCATATTTTTCCCTCTATCTTACAGAAAGAGGCTTATGGTAAACTCCAACTCTTTGTACAACAATCACTACAGGCTCGTATCATGCAGCTTAATGCTCCAGAGGATGCTCAACTGAGAGGGGAGCTGAACAGACTGATGGCAAGGTGTGCTAGGGTCAAGGTCAATTAAATAGTCAAAGTGAAGGTCATAGTGGTAATCACTGTCATGGATTATGTAATAATTCCTATTCAATGTAATTTTCAGCCATGTTAATGCTTGTTCAGGTTCAATTCCACAATAATTGATTTTAATGTAATTATAGATGTCTCTGATGTTAATTGTCGTTAGTGGAAAGATAAGAAAAACCAGTTAATATGCTGGTCCAGAACTGGAACACTATCAGAATTGTGAGAGGTCATTGTACCTCTGTAAAAAGACTAGTGGTTAGTCTTTGATATGCAGCATGTTCAGACCTTTGATTATATTCTGTAATAAAGCAAAATGAGTCAAGGTCGTAATAGTTTCAAAGACTTTTGTGAATTTCTAACAGAATTTCAATTTCCAAAAATAAACAAAAAAGAAAAATTTTAATAGAATTTGAAGTGTCTTGTGTTCTGTTTACTCCTGTAACAGGTGTTACCTTAAATTGGGTGAATGGACAGAGGCTATCATGAACATCGGCGAAGTGTCCATCCCCCAGGTACTGGAGTACTACAGTTTAGCGACGGAACACGACAAGACCTGGTACAAAGTAGGTAACCATAGCAACTATTGTACTTTCAGCTCTGAAAAACCTAACTATTGTCTGTAGATGTCTGTAAAACCTAACTATTGTCTGTAGATCTCTGTAAATGAAACTTTTCACAGACTCTTTCTAAAATACTTTCCATTGTCTGTAGCCCTCAGAAAGGTGTACCTATTTACAGACACTCTCTAATAGCCTTTCCATTGTTGGCTCTAGCCCTCTGAAAGGTGTAAATTGTCACTTTTTTTCTCTGAAATGCTTAAACATGGACAGAAGTCTTCAGTTTGGCTGTATTATTCACTGACTTGCTCAGAAATACTAACAGAGAGCTTGCCATGAAAGGAATTTATCTTAAAAGAATGACTTCTGAAGTCACTTCATTACTAATGTGATAATAGAATTCAAAAGTTACAACTAGCCAAGAATACCTTTTTTGAAGTGGTTAACATTGAATAGAAGATTATTCAATCAATTAGTATTGTACAAATGTATATATAACTTTGAATGCTGTTATCGTGTAGGCTAGCCATGCCTGGGCCCTGATGAACTATGAGGCTGTTTTATTCTATAAACAACAAAACCAGACAAGCGATGGGGCTTCTAGCTCCTCTGCCTCAGCTGCGGCCACTGCAGGCCCAGGGGACATCAGCCGGACTGTCACCAATCAAGGTGAACTCTCCCGCTCTAATGATGCCCCAGGTTCCCCAAGGATTGAATCAGTAAGTACTTCTCACTTTCTCGATTTTTAGGGTCTTTTTTAATTAACATTGAAACACACAATGACACTTCTGCTGTATTACTTCTTTGTATCAGTTGTCACAAGGAACTCTGATATTGTCATGTATCGGTTTGGCAATATATAGAAAGGTAGATATACATTTTTGCAGTAACCAAGATGGCAGATTTTATTTTTTAACTGTTTCAGAGTGCAAGCAAGATGCATAAATACTGTGTTCCTGCTGTACATGGATTCTTTAGGTCTATTTCTTTGTCACAGCAAAACAGTCTTCAAGACACCTTGAGGTAAAAGAAATGTAGTATTGAAAGTTGCTCACAGTACCTGAGTTCCTACCATAGAAAATGACTGGAATTTACATGGCTGTCCCTGGCAGTTAACCACTGAATTGGTTTCTGCTCATTTGCTCTTTGATAGAGATATGTAGTTGTATTATGAGATGATAGAAGTCAGGTTTATACAGAATATATGGTCAGTGTCTCAACATATAAACTGTATTTTGATGAGGGTGAAGAAAGACCAAAGTGGTGAGCCTCTGGATAGCCATTTTTGTGTTTCGGTCCCGAGCCAAAATGCAGCTTTAATTTTAAGACACTGAGTATGTATTCTATTTATCCTTCAACACTGATTGAAAATCAGACAATCAAAGCATCAACGTTTTTGTTGTTCAGTCTTTGTTCACCTGACATTGACGTTATGCTGTATTTTGCCTGATGACATATATAAAAAAAAATCGCTCTGTACCAAAATGTAGTTCTAAACTTCAAAGTACATGACAGCAATTTTTGTCAATTTTCATATTACCTTGCTTCATAATGACATATAAAATCACTCATCTCAAGTTATTTTAATTGTTAACGTAGGTTTTATATTACTTCAGGAAATAATTCTGTCAAGTTAATGTACATGCTAAAACAAATCTGTTTTCCTTCACTGTCGAATACAGCAAAATATATATATCAGGTGTATTCCAACAATGGCAGTACCATTTGCAGGATAAATATTGGGTTCTTGTTAATTGAATATTGGAGAGTTTAGTTACGGCCTCTGAGCGAAGAGAATCTCAAAAATTTATCTGATTCAGTAGATTTTCGTCAAATATTCTCAGAACTGGATGTCCTTTTTATTGGCTGCCAGTGGGGACATTGGTGTCTCACTGTCACCTCTAGTCTTTCTGTAATAATTTTCAACAACCCACTTAAAAATTTTGTTAAACTGAGATATGTATTTATAAGTACATTTCTTTAATACTTACCACATGGTTGTTTTTATCCTAGACTGCTGACTCTGTGGTTTGATTACGGCCAGTGGGCAGAGGTGTACGAGGCCCTTGTTGAAGGTCTGAAGACTATTCAGATTGATAACTGGCTACAGGTCATCCCCCAACTTATTGCTCGTATTGATACTCCTCGCTTGTTGGTTGGTCGTCTCATCTCTCAGCTGTTAATAGATGTTGGTAAACATCACCCACAGGTAAGACTTCTACCATTACCTGGTTCTTGAACATAATGGTCTTTTATATCAAAAATATAAAAAAAAAAAAGAATAATATTCTGATTTTAAAATGTTTCATTACAAATGATTTTCAAACATATATATTTTTGATAAAGTATTTGGCTTACATTTCTAAATGTTTCTTTTGTCAATGAATCTTTAAATTTGTTCCCTATACCAAATTCAAAGAACCATGATGTTAAGTATTTTAATCATTAGTGTTGATAAAAACAGGACTGCTAGAGTTTATCGTATACTGATTTAGGTATGGTTGTCATGGTAAAATATTGTATACTGGTTGTGCTGATTTAGGTATGGTTGTCATGGTAAAATATTGTATTGTTACAGGCATTGATATACCCCCTGACAGTCGCCTCAAAGAGTAATGCAACAGCTAGGCAGTCTGCAGCCAACAAGATTCTGAAGAGTATGTGTGAACACAGCAACACGCTCGTACAACAGGCCATGTTGGTAAGTGTGAACACAGCAACACGCTGGTACAACAGGCTATGTTGGTAAGTGTGAACACAGCAACACGCTGGTACAACAGGCCATGTTGGTAAGTGTGAACACAGCAACACGCTTGTCATATAACAGGCCATTTTGGTAAGTGTGAACACAGCAACACGTTGGTACAACAGGCTATGTTGGTAAGTGTAAACACAGCAACACGCTCGTACAACAGGCCATGTTGGTAAGTGTGAACACAGCAACACTCTCATACAACAGGCCATGTTGGTAAGTGTGAACACAGCAACACGCTTGTACAACAGGCCATGTTGGTAAGTGTGGAAATCCACAACACAGATAAATGATAGAACATGTTGGTAAATGTGAACACACAGAATACACTAAAACAAGAAACCATGATGGTATGAGTGAATTGCACAATATTTAATTGTCATATCAGAAACTTAAGAATTGTTTGTCTGGCGTTGTCCATTTGAAAGTGACAAAATTCTGACCGAAAATATAGGAACAAAAACTGTTGATAAAAGTAAGCAAAAAATGCCAAAACATATTACACTGAAAAAAAAGACGTGAAATTTCTGTAGGACATTGTTTATTTGATTTCTTTGAAGGTGAGTGAGGAACTTATCCGTGTGGCCATCCTGTGGCATGAACTGTGGCATGAGGGTCTAGAGGAAGCTTCCCGCCTGTACTTTGGAGAACGAGATGTAAAAGGCATGTTCGCTACACTGGAGCCCCTACATGCTATGATGGAGAGAGGACCCCAGACACTCAAGGAAACCTCTTTTAACCAGGTATATTTTGTCAGTAACTCTTTCAGGCTCATTTACCAGCCTCCCTCTCTAACACTAACACACACTTTTATATACTTCTTACTCCAAGGATTTAATGGGAGCAAATCACAGAGGAAACAGTCAGAACATATGGGACATAATATATTAATCACTGAGAATAACATTCACAGACTGAGGAAAACTTAAATCTCAATTACTGAATGGTATTTACAGATACAGGAAAATATATGATTTTACAGTGATACAGGTAGCAGTTGTAGGTAGAATTATCCTGACAATTTTTAAAGTACATAAACTCAGTGAATAACACTAATTTTCAGTAAAGTTTCTATTATTGAAATGCCCATCCATAACAAGCCTTATTATACCAATGTTTTGTGTTATTTGCTTCAAACACCTGACCCTGTTGTTGTTTAAGGCATATGGACGAGACCTGATGGACGCCCAGGAGTGGTGTAGGAAGCATCAGAGGTCAGGTAATGTGAAGGACCTGACTCAGGCTTGGGATCTATACTACCATGTCTTTAGACGCATCTCCAAACAGCTGCCCCAGGTAACTCACAACATCATACCATCAGGTCTGATTTATGTAGATCTCCAAACAGCTGCCCCAGGTTACTCACAACATCATACAAGCAGGTCTGATTTATGTAGATCTCCAAACAGCTGCCCCAGGTAACTCACAACATCATACCATCAGGTCTGATTTATGTAGATCTCCAAACAGCTGCCCCAGGTTACTCACAACATCATACAAGCAGGTCTGATTTATGTAGATCTCCAAACAGCTACCCCAGGTTACTCACAAAAACAGGTCGTCTTGATTTAAGTAGATTTAAGTAGGTAACATGTCTCTTCACAACCTCATCGTAACTTAAGTATATCTCTAAACAGCTGCCCCAAACTGATGCCCATGGTAATAAGACTGTTCACAACCTTATCGTAACTTAAGTATATCACGAAACAGCTGCCCCAAACTGATGCCCATGGTAATAAGATAGTTCATAACCTCATCATAAATTTGGTTGCTAAGCAAACCTTAAACACAACACATATGAAGACAAGAAAGTGAAAAATTTCACATACTGTCAGTCATGAAGTGAGCTTCCCTGTAATCCTTTGTGCAAATGGCAGATAGGAATATGGAGACATAACAACAGGTATTCTCATTCACCAAGACTCTACATTATCAAGTGCAGCCAACAAAAGTCTGGTTGGACGAGACTAAGCAATTAGTATCTTACCTGGAAAACTTATGCAGATTATTCTGGGTTCATCTTTTAGGAGCACAGGTTTGCAAATTAAAATTGAGGATGTGACAAAATTCATTCACATCTTATATATTGTGCATCAGGTAGACTTTTTTGCAGTGTTAACACAGACACTATTCCTGATTGAATATGGTGGATCTATCACACATGTAGTGTTTGGAATTGTTTCCTGCACAAACTGTTCAATTTTTGGCATGTAATAACACATTTGAATTATATTGAATTTAGAGAACCCACTATGACTCTAAATAACTTGACTCATTAAATTTTTGGAGTTGGTATTCAGCACTCGCCTAGAAAAATTTTACAAAAAATTACTCATGTTTTCATTTCAAATCAAAATGATATGATATTGTGTGTTTTGGAATGTCTCAAAATTAGAAAGAGAACTGGGAATCCTGCTGACATGGGAAGTGTTAATTTGACAGGTGTAACATTCCTTAGTTTGACTTGCAGGGGGACAAACCACTCCCAGAGGTATGTTCTGGCCATATTAGCTTTAGAAAAGTGTTAATTTGATATAGACAGGTGTAACATTCCTTAGTTTGACTTGCAGGGGGACAAACCACTCCCAGAGGTATGTTCTGGCCGTATTAGCTTTAGAAAAGTGTTAATTTGATATAGACAGGTGTAACATTCCTTAGTTTGACTTGCAGGGGGACAAACCGCTCCCAGAGGTATGTTCTGGCCGTATTAGCTTTAGAAAAGGTTCTCTAATCATTTTTTATTTCATTTTGAAAACGGATTTGGTATTTTATTCTTTTACGAAATCATTGACATCACAATGATTTTATCAATATTGCATGGAATTTTTGGGATGGTATTTTGTTTCTCACTTTGTTTTGGACTTTTCACAGCAGGATATCAATTTGATGTAGCTGCCATATCAACTTTTATATTCATTATTCTGATTTGGGGCTAAGTACAAGTCAAAATAATAAGACTGCATGCACTTCAGTGACAACTTTATACTTTATTTATGAAAACTGACAACTATCATTAGAATTATCAACTGTAGATTTAATTTGCAAACTGATATAAAATTTTAAACAGATACTGTCATTATTTTCTTGATGGAACACACACACAAACATTTTAAAATAATTAATAGTAATTGTCTTCCTTATTCTTCCTCCATATGTCCATCCATCAAACATTTCAGTTAGAATTTGGTCTCACTCCTTCCATTCTACAAGAACTATAGCCATTAAACTTTGTACAGAGACACATTATTTGCAGTATGACTCCCATCATCTGATTTTTGTTCTGTTCAAGTTTAACCCTCAGTTTTTAGTTTGTATTACAATTTTGTCAACTTTTCAGTATTTGTTTTCCAATAGAATTTGTATGTCTTTGTTTCAAATTAAGCAGGAGTTCAGATATTTCCTAGTTTTAGGCATAAAAATACCCTCCTTTTTTATTTTATTCCATTTTTTCGTTATATATCAGCTGTAAAAGTGTTGAAATTTATTCTACGTATGTGTCTGCACTGCCAAGAAGATTATACACAGGGTAATCTATTGGTAGTGAAATGGGGTAAGTTAGCAATTGTGAAACAGTTTGGGGGGAAATTACTTACTTTCTATATATTCTATCTATCTTATATCATGATGACAACAGGTTTTAATGAAGCTTCATACCGCTACTGTTATTTCATTGATTTCTAAGTGTAACCCAAGGACAAAATCGCTATTTGTAGAAGTTATATTGGTGACAAGTTTTTCTGTAATTGTTCCCGTTTTGGAGTCCAGAAACCATAGTGGACAGAGAAATACCAACATAGCTGCTATTATAACTAGTTAAAAACTAAAACTGTCCACTTGATCGACTTTATTTTGTGACATAAGGATGAAATTGAAGCTGATTTATAGAAAATTCTTTATTGTCAGACATTAGTTGTGAAATAGGACAATGACAAAATAAAAAAAATTGATTATAGATGTTACATCTGTAGAAAGATTTTAGGGATCATGTTGGTCATCAAAAATCTTCCCAAATTAAATATATTCATTTCTTGTCACTACATTTTAAATGTAGCACAAGTAAAAATAGAAAAAAAGTAAAATTTAAACAATTTAGCCATACATCATTACGTTTATAAAATAAAATTCAAACAATTTAGCCATACATCATTATGTTTATAAAATAAAATTTTGCCTTTGTATTGTGAGTTCTGCTACTAATATCTATGATATGAGGTGTCAACACTATGGATATGTAGGAGAAAATATTCATCTATTTTTACTCATTTTATTATGATTTTTGTCATCTTGTTATATTAACAGCTGACGTCTCTGGAATTACAATATGTCTCCCCAAAATTATTACGATGTCAGGATCTGGAATTGGCAGTGCCAGGAACCTATGATCCCAATCAACCAGTCATCAAAATTCGGAGGGTTCAAAGTTCATTGCAGGTCATCACTTCCAAACAACGTCCAAGAAAACTCAGCATATTTGGTGAGATGGTCAATCAATTTGTAGTTACTTTTTTTTTAAATGCTTTAATTTTCAATCACTAACTGGTAAAATTAATTTTCTATTTCATTGAATTAAAACAAATGATGGCAGTATACTTTTACAATGTAGAATGATGCCAAATATAATTTGAATGTGCTTAGCTGAAATTCATCACTAGTTTTTAAGACCACTCAATGTTGTGAGCTGTTCAGTGAAGACAGCAGACTTTTTTCATTAACTCATACATGTACAATGAAACACAATAGACATAGATTATCTTGAATATCTCTGTATACATGTATATATCACAGCCATTTACTGTTTGAGGAAGGAGAGGGATTATATCTCATTGCAAGCTTGTGTAGGATTCAGTTGTTCTTAACTCCATCTGGAAGAACAACTCTATAGATCTCATTTTCAAGGCATTAAAAGATCTAATTAATATCAAACAGATATGATGCTAATCTTGTTTCCTAATGAAGATCTGACATTACACAGGTAATAATGGACAAGAGTACATGTTCCTGCTGAAGGGACACGAGGACCTGCGACAGGATGAGCGTGTGATGCAGCTGTTTGGATTGGTCAACTCCCTACTTCTCAATAACCCTGAGACGTTGAGGAGAAATCTGACGTAAGTGACTTGGAATCAGTGATAACAATCCTTGTCACTCTGAGATTAAAATCATTGCAGGATGTTGTCAAAGATCTGTTAACTTTAATGTCAGATTCCATAGATTAACAGAATTTTCTACCCCATTGGTATGCTTAACATAAAAGAATTCTAAAAAATTAAACATACAGGCAGCTGGGGATACAAGCATGGTTGTTGGGTGTAGCACTGGTAATGCATTAGCCTTTTAACTAGCTGTCCTAGGCTCAGTTTCCAGAACAGAAAAGGTAGTGGGGCACCTGTTCGGCTATGTCAGTTTCTTTCTGGGTACTCCTGTTTCCTCCCACAGAAAGACCACTTACATGCTAGCCAGGCTAACAATAGTGATTGTATCAGTTGAAAGAACTTGTTTCACAATTGTTGTAAAATAAATTAAGTTCATATTTTCATTTTGAAAAGCAGTTGTTTTGGGAGTTATGAACTCCCATTTGGGGGTTTCTAGGAACACTGAATGCTTATATCAAAATATTTTCTATCACTATTATGGATTCAGAAGTATAATCATTCATAAGTTATCAATCCGAGATAAGGTTAGATATTAAGCCATTTTAAAAGTTATGTCTGTAAAACAATATAATGTGATTGGTGAAGAATTGTGAAGAGGGAAATTAATGTTGTTTAAGAAATACAACAAACTTATTGGTATTGAAATATTGCTCTCCTCTAGTTGTGTGTTGTAAATAAACACTCGTTATTAGAGCTTTACCTGTTACTGGTAGCTTGGTGGTGTTAATTAAGCACCCAGTTTTGTACAGCCCCTTACCACCCAATCACTTGTAGTCATGTGTATGAACTTGATGTATGTGAAAAAAAACAAGACATCATCGAACATGAAGTAAGATCTGATTTCCCCTGTAATTTATTCAGGATTCAACGATTTTCTGTGATTCCACTGTCCACCAACTCTGGATTGATTGGCTGGGTACCACACACTGACACTTTTCACGCTCTGATCAGGGATTATCGTGAGAAGAAAAAGATTCTTTTGAATATTGAGCACCGCTTGATGCTACGGGTAAGCAATTAAATCCTTTCTTTTGTTTGGACATACAATACCTTCTTTTTATGTAAAATATAATATGTTTGTTCCCCATTATTACTCAATAGTTCAACTGGCTCTCAACAGATGGCATTTTGATGTTTTTGTCAGGAATTGTTCCCCTTTATGACTCAATAGTTCCACTGTCTCTCAACAGATGGTGTTTTGATGGTTATGTAAGGAATTGTTCCCCTTTATGACTCAGTAGTTCCACTGTCTCTCAAATGATGATGGCAGTTTGATGTTTATGTTAGGAATTGTTCCCCTTTATTAATCTTTAGTTCCACTATCTCCCAACAGATGGCACCTGACTATGACCACCTCACACTGATGCAGAAGGTTGAAGTATTTGAGCATGCTTTAGAACATACACAGGGAGATGATCTTGCTAAAATTCTTTGGTACAAAAGTCCAAGCTCTGAGGTAAGTTGAGCAATTGATTTAGAAGAACAAATTTTAGGAAACTGATTTCCACTAAAGACATTTTCAAATATCTTATATCTAATTTCAGATGTTTTCATTGTTTACACAGTATTCTCTTAGATACTGTGTTTATACTGGCCTTTTTGACTTTTATCACACAGGTATGGTTTGACCGTAGAACTAATTACACTCGATCTCTGGCTGTGATGTCAATGGTAGGATATGTGCTTGGACTGGGAGACAGGTGAGAGGAATACAAACACAAGCAACCCTCTGTATTATCTATGATATGATGCCCCACATGTTCACTCACTGTGTCAATAGATTCAAAGTCTACCTTTCACATTGATGCCAGACAATTTGATGTTACCTAACAAATTGCCAGTAGTTCTAACATTTAAAGGTATTTTGTGGTCTTTAATTTTGTTGTGACAGATATGTTATATCTTGAAAAAATTGCCTTAGTGATGTATTTTGATTTGTGTAACAGACATCCCTCTAACCTGATGCTGGATAGGGTCAGTGGCAAGGTGATCCACATAGACTTCGGGGACTGTTTTGAGGTTGCTATGGTGAGGGAGAAATTTCCAGAGAAGATTCCATTCCGACTCACCAGAATGCTTATCAGTGCTATGGAGGTACATGTACTAGGGTTTCTACTGGAATATATACCAAGAATGATGACCAATTTTATATTTTGTTATTAGATAAATGAATAAAGGAAAGTACAGGTGTGCGAGAAGTTTATTCTCTTTTAAGTAATCACCAGATATATATTAACTTGGTGTGATCATGTCAAACTTCTTGTTACACATGTATTAATGACCAACATTTTTGTCGGTCATAAAATATAAAACGTATTCTTCAAGGAATTTCTGCAATGAAATGTTTCTCATTTTAGGAAGATGCATTATATGCCAAACAATGAGCCCTCTCATATAACTACTTGCTGTTATCAATAAATTACAAACTGACTTGTTTTTGTTGTCCTGAACTGTAACAAGCACTCCTGCTGACTTAGAATATGAAATGTTGGTTCTTGGGGTCATGTAATAAGCCCACCCCCTAACAGAATGTAAAGTGTTGGTTCCTGGGGTACTATAATAAGCCCACCCCTTGACAGAGTGTAAAGTGTTGGTTCCTGGGGTACTATAATAAGCCCACCCCTTGACAGAGTGTAAAGTGTTGGTTCCTGGCGTACTATAAGAAGCCCACCCCCTGATAGAGTGTAGAGTGTTGGTTCCTGGGGTCCTGTAATAAGCCCACCCCCTGACAGAGTGTAAAGTGTTGGTTCCTGGGGTACTATAATAAGCCCACCCCCTGATAGAGTGTAAAGTGTTGGTTCCTGGGGTCATGTAATAACCCCACCACCTTATAGAGTGTTAAGTGTTGGTTCCCGGGGTCCTGTGATAAGCCCACCCCATGACAGAGTGTAAGTTGTTGGTTCGGGGGGTACTGTAATAAGCCCACCACTTTACAGAGTGTTAAGTGTTGGTTCCCGGGGTCCTGTGATAAACCCATCCCATGACAGAGTGTAAGGTGTTGGTTCCTGGGGTCCTGTGATAAGCCCAATCCATGACAGAGTGTAAGGTGTTGGTTCCCGGGGTACTGTAATAAGCCCTCTCCCTAGCTAAGAATGTAAGTTTTTGGGTTCTGTGTGAAAAGTTCATCCCCTGACTTAGATTGTAAGTTTTTGTGTTCCTGGGGTCCTGTAATAAGCCCTCCTCTAGACTCCAGGGTAAGTGTTTGGGTTCAAGGAGTCTTTGGGTTATATCAGGAAGACAAAGGCAAATAAAAGTGTAAAATTTGAAAATTCTTCCAAATAATGATTCTCTGGTCTTTTATAAGTCATGGCTGGTATTGATAATCAGTTAATGAAGTATGTATAACTGTTGAAGGTGACAGGCATCGATGGTAACTATCGGATGACATGCGAGAGTGTTATGGAGGTACTACGAGAACACAAGGACAGTCTGATGGCAGTGTTAGAGGCCTTTGTGTATGACCCTCTCCTGAACTGGAGACTTATGGACAGTAAGTAAAATATATCTTTTTAACTAGCACCAACAAATGTTAATTTTACAATAGTTTTTCAAAATGTTTAATGTTAAGATCTTCTGATTGGTACTTATTGTTAAGCCTGTGTTTTATGGTACAATAGACACAGTAAGTAGATTTAAAATGTGTTGAGCCTGTGTATTATGGTACAATAGACACAGTAAGTATTTTTAAAACAATAGACACAGTAAGTAGATTATGTGTTGAGCCTTGTGGTTTATGGTACAATAGACACAGTGTGTTGAGCCTGTGGTTTATGGTACAATAGACACAGTAAGTAGATTTTTAAAATGTGTTGAACCTGTGGTTTATGGTACAATAGACACAGTAAGTAGATTTTTAAAATGTGTTGAGCCTGTGGTTTATGGTACAATAGACACAGTAAGTAGATTTTTAAAATGTGTTGAGCCTGTGGTTTATGGTACAATAGACACAGTAAGTAGATTTTTAAAATGTGTTGAGCCTGTGTTTTATGGTTATAGATAAAATAACATAATGAATTAAAATGTTGATTGTTTCAAATGACTTCACAGCTACAACCAAAACAAAACCAAAGACAAACCGGTCAGATTCGTTCACGGGTAGCCAGGAGAAGGGTGATATTCTGGATAGTGTAGAACTAAGTACAACCAGTCACAAGAAGACTGCTCCAGAGGGTCCAGGATCAGCTGGAGGTGATAATACACAGGCTGAGGTACTCAACAAGAAAGCAATATCCATCGTACACAGGGTACGGGACAAACTAACAGGGAGAGACTTTCCTACAAAGGACTCTATAGACGTTAACACTCAAGTAGAGCTTCTCATCAAACAGGCCACCTCACACGAGAATTTGTGTCAGTGTTACATCGGCTGGTGCCCGTTCTGGTGATGTTGTAGACACAAATAATGATACAACACCTCTGTGAAATGGACATCCTCTACATCGGATTGAATAGATCGTGTGTTGTAAAAGTGTTTGATAGTGACCGAATGACATGTTTTAGTTATGGTTTGTTACCTGAACGGGTTAACACACTTTAACAATTAATTTAAAGGATCATGTGACTGGTTACTATAAATGATGGTGATGATCATTAAATCCTCAGTTTAGTCTGTTTGACTTAATATTCTGCCGAGAAATATGCCAACCTCTTTGTCATTAAGCTTGAGGAGGGTTCTGTGATACATAATAAAACATGGTTATGTGACATTACATACTTAAAACATTGATAATATTATTTTGATGGTTAAAAGTTTCTGATAACTTGAGACTTTCGTAATGTGTACTCTGTTGTAAGTATGGAGGACACCATTATGGCTCTAAGAGAGACTTCCATAATGTGTACTCTGTTGTAAGTATGGAGGACACCATTATGGCTGTACGAAAAACTTCCATAATGTGTACTCTGTTGTAAGTATGGAGGACACTGTTTATGGCGTTATGAGAGACTTTCGTAATGTGTACTCTGTTGTAAGTATGGAGGACACCGTTATTGCTGTACGGGAGACTTCCATAATGTGTACTCTGTTGTAAGTATGGAGGACACTGTTTATGGCGTTATGAGAGACTTTCGTAATGTGTACTCTGTTGTAAGTATGGAGGACACTGTTTATGACTCTGAGAGAGACAAGATTTACAAGTGATAGTCTTGTTGGACTAATGAAGTATTATTATGATACAGTAGAAAACGGACCTAAAGAGAGATACAAGTACTTTGTATAATCATGCAGAATGTTGTCTATTGTTTAAGTTCAGATCTTAAGGAAACTTCAAATTGATTGTGAAAGTTCAGATCTTAAGGAAACTTCAAATTGATTGTGAAAGTTCAGATCTTAAGGAAACTTAAAATTGATTGTGAAAGTTCAGATCTTAACGAAACTTAAAATTGATTGTGAAAGTTCAGATCTTAAGGAAACTTAAAATTGATTGTGAAAGTTCAGATCTTAAGGAAACTTAAAATTGATTGTGAAAGTTCAGATCTTAAGGAAACTTAAAATTGATTGTGAAAGTTCAGATCTTAAGGAAACTTAAAATTGATTGTGAAAGTTCAGATCTTAAGGAAACTTAAAATTGATTGTGAAAGTTCAGATCTTAAGGAAACTTAAAATTGATTGTGAAAGTTCAGATCTTGAGGAAACTCATAATTGTGGTCCATATTCATTTTTGATAGTTTTAATGAATTCTTTACTTCAGGTTTATAACCGTTTTAAAATGTAAGTGTAGTTTGAACATCACTGATAGAGCACCTGAAGTAGATGTTGGAACTATTCGCTGATAATCAGATAATGATTAGTGTTTTCATGTGTAAATCGTTGCTTGGCTGTTTTACATCTGTATTGTATCAAATGTTGGCTAATACACATAAACCACAGTTCACAACATCAGATTTCTTCAGATTTTCAAGCCCAGGGTCATGATAAGGGCCAGTGGCATGCTGGGGTGAAGGGCTACCAAGTTGGTTCAAATGAATGACCATGAATTATGTTCATGGTCACAGGGGTCAATTGTATCAAAATCTTTAAATAAATTCTCAATAACAAAATGACCAAGGGTCATATTGGGTCAACAGCATGCTGGGATGAATGACCTTGATGTTTTTCCAAGGTCACAGCGGTCAAATGTGTCAAAATGATTTCTTCTCAATAACTGATAGTCCAGGGTCATGATATTGGGCCAGTATCATTCTGGGATGAAGGGCTATCATGTTTGTTCAAATGAATGACCTTGACCTTTATTCAAGGTCACAATGTTATTAGTTTTGTTTAATTGAAAATCAAGCCTTCAAACTTAGAAACAATAAAAAAAAACTTTGTGAGTATTTATATATCAGCTCTGTTCTGTCTGCCCCAATGCTTGGACTGATTGACAGGTTGTCCAAAGACTTGAAGATCTCGGGTGACTGTTAAGGCCCATGGGACCCTTTTAAAGTCATCTGACCCAAAGGTTCAGGATGACCAATAGTCATGATGTTTTGTCTGTCATCAAGGGAGTGCATACTTTTTCGCTTTTTAATCTTTCTCTGCAGTTCCACTGGTATTGTGAGCTGAAAATTAGTGGATAATTTTATGGACAGGAAGCCATCAAGTGTGTTGTTGTTTTTTTTGTTATTTTTTTTTAATGGCAGCCACAGCGGCCGTTTTGTAATACAATGCATCTGAAAATCTTTTCCTCTAGTTATAGGTACAGCATTCATCTCAAGCTTGCTTTATATTATCCTTATCTAACCAAGAGTTGTTATTTTAGGGGTTTGTAAAAATTCCAGTATGGCCACCACAACTTCCATCTTAAAACATTTCAAATTTCATCTCCATGGGTGTCATGGAAGTGAAATGAACAGAAAGGTGTTGCTGTTTTTATCATTTCGTAATTGTTCATCCTAATGCTACAGCTACTAAAGCAATTATAGGGCATTACAGTTGTGTGACAGTTTAGACCTGTGGACCCCTTTTTTTACCAGTTGTATGATTGAGCTTCCTGAAAACACAATACTGACTCTGTATTGCTTTGTTAAATCTGTGGTAAAACTAGTCTGAGAGTGCTGCAGTCTGTTTATGTGATATAGGCTACATGATAAATTCCAATGCTTTGTTATGTTGATTATGTGTAATTAAAAAATGATAAATAAAAAATAACATTAAAAAAAATCTTACTGACCTTGTTTTGAAGTTGCATCTTTGTAATATTCACATTGTACAACATTTGTCAGCCGGTACATGATTACAACATGATTACCTGTGATAACCCACTTTCCCATTAACTACTAATGATGTCGCACATTCCTAGATTTCCCACCTTCCCACTGATTATCAAGATTCTCATTGACAACCCATAATATCCAACCTTCCCATAGATTACCCACGATATCACAACTTCCCTTTGATTACCCACGATACCCCAACTTCCCATTGATTACCCACGATACCACAACTTCCCATTGATTACCCACGATACCACAACTTCCCATTGATTACCCATGATACCACAACTTCCCATTGATTACCCACGATACCCCAACTTCCCATTGATTACCCATGATACCACAACTTCCCATTGATTACCCACGATACCACAACTTCCCATTGATTACCCATGATACCACAACTTCCCATAGATTACCCACCATACCACAACTTCCCATAGATTACCCACGATACCCCAACTTCCCATTGATTACCCACGATACCACAACTTCCCATTGATTACCCATGATACCACAACTTTCCATAGATTACCCACGATACCCCACCTTTCTATTGATTACCCACGATACCCCAACTTCCCATTGATTACCCACAATAACCCACCTTTCTATTGATTACCCACGATAACCCACCTTTCTATTGATTACTCATTACATCCCAATTATTTTCCACGTCGCACATCATTGATTACCCATAATACCCCACCTTCCCATCGATTACTTATAATACCCCTCCTTCCCGTCGATTACCCATAATACCCCTCCTTCCCGTTGATTACCCATGATACCCCTCCTTCCCGTTGATTACCCATAATACCCCTCATTCCCATCGATTACCCAGAATACCACTCTTTCCCGTTGATTACCCAGAATACCCCTCCTTCCCGTTAATACCCAGAATACCCCTCCTTCCCACTGATTTCCCTTGATACAACACCTCCCTATGGTTTACCCTTTACCGTTAACGTATAAGACCACCTTTCTGAGCAAAACATCTTCCGGAAATGAAAGGCAAAGAGCAGAAAATGACAGCATTTCGCTTATCTAACTTTGTTTGACATGCTTCGAATTTTGGTGAAATATGATGCTTTCTTACAAATGAAGTTGACATGAATTAAATATCACGTACTTTGCGTATAACGCAATCTTATATGAGGTCACAACACATGCAAATGTACACAAGTCCACCAAACGGCAACGTCACTAATTGCGCTCGCTGTAGCACACCAACATTTCTTAAAGCACTAACGAATTATTTTATAAACGTTATCCTCAGGTTGGTAACGTCAGCAGAATAGAAGTTCTTGTTACGCAATCAGTAGAAAATTCTACTCGGCGTGTTGTAAGAACTGCTATTCTATTCCGCCATTGGTGTGTCATTTTCTCGATACTTTCAACCGAGAATGTCATAAAGCCATTAAGTGTCGCTCTTTCGAAGCTCTGCCTGTCTCATATTAACTATCCCCCAATGGCTGTTTGTACAATAGCCTTGATCACGTGTTCACACTTAACAATGTCATGTATAATATATTCTTAATATATAAGGATTCCCATCAACTTTAAGTGCCGCTTTAATAAAATATTGAAGCCTTGTCTTCAAAAGGTCAATTTAAATAAACTAATCTTAATGTTGAAAATTTTTTGATCATTTAGAGATACACAAAAACGAAAGGTAATGTTTATTTATAAATATCTTTTTGACACGGAAAACTGAAAGTTACTCAACAGCACAATTATAACTCTTTATATCAAATTACCTCGGTATTAGATTTTTATTTAGCACATACTAAAGTAATCATGTTGTTTGGTCAGTGTTATCAGGTTTAAACAACATTTAGCACTGGGCGTCGCCTAACAGGACGACTTTGCTTATCTTTGTATCTGTAGAGGTAATCACGTGTTGTTCTGTACGTATGCACTTCCATTTTCACTCTCGTGGAAAAATGGCCTCGTTGATGTTCCCGAGTCTATTGGTGTTGTGTCTACAACTAGCAGGTAAATATGGTTCACTAGCAAATAATAATCTATTTATTATCTCTATTATTCAAACACTCGATCAATTTCAAGCCCTTTTGAAGGTTTATGTATATGCTAATTTGATCATTTGAACTTGAACGTGCCTATAACAGTGTAGATCTAAATAAATAGATACAATTCTGCATCCTGGTGACCTATTAGTTTAAGGAGACCCCTGTCTCCTATAATACAACGACAATGGCTTCTCAGTTTTAAACCACTATCATTACTTCATTATCAGCTATTCCAACATCGTGGACAGATGATAAGGAAGTAGGGCTTCTTGTTTGAGATTAAAAATGACCGCACGGACACGAGACCTTTGTTACGTAAGATAATGCATAGTTATAAGTGCTTCAAGGCGTTATAAGTACATCTAACCTGCTAGGATATTCAATTCTGCGGGAGTTAGACTAGGGACAGGAACAAGAATTTCTTGGAATTTCCTAGTCATCTACACGTAAACTCGTTTTCGTACTTACTACAACCTGTAATGTTGAGATTCGTGTTATCATCTTGCGCAGTATCCTGAATAAAAGAAAATTCCTACTTGTTTGTTTTTTTTTTTTTTTTTTGTAATTCAAATGTTGACTCAGTTATCAGTCAGTATTTTAACCATCATCATCTTGTTTAAAGGACTAAATAAATATATCAACATGTCAGCAAGATCTTAAATAATCTAAAATCGGTGTTCAGGAAGGATGAGAGTCTTCTTCGTCATCGGCGACATCCACCATGTAAACGTTGGTCAGCCCAAGTATATAACGTCGCGATGTGATTTCTAAAGGTCGTTAGTCGAGAGAAATATGTTTGCTGTAGAACAACCACGAATGTCTGGGATTGTGTTGTGCTCTGTGGAAGCTTGGTTAGAAAGACCTTGGCATGGAAACATAATCACGTTTTGGGGTTTTAATGTCGATGCCATGTATCTCTGAGCTTTCGACCAAACATGGTGCCATATACAACTAGACAACTTAACAATGTCAGGGACAATCTAACCTACAAGTTGTCCGTTATTGACTACACGAGGGGATCGTGTATCTGGTTTATACCATACTAGGGAGCACTCCACAACATCAGAAATTTTATATAGGCTGTTTGTTGTATACATATCAATATATTTCATTATGTTATTTTTAGCTGAAAACCCTATTCATCATGTAATAGTACAGGGTTGTCCAAAATTAACAGACAAGTTACTTACCTTTATGATTTTCTGAATGACAGCTGCCCAGACGGACGTAACACGCTGTCCTATCAACCTGCAGAGGGGGCCTGCCTTGCAGAGTTTCGAAAACCATTGTTACACGTTTGAAATCCACCATCACCAAGACTGGGCTCACGCCAATAATGACTGCCATGCCAAGGGTGGATTCCTTCTAACGATCCACTCATCCATGGAGCAGAATTTCATAATGACAGAGCTAGGCTCTCTCAGCTTCGCGGGAAATGGCGTATGGCTAGGACTGACGGACCAGAACACGGAGGGAACATTTGTGTGGGCTGACGGTAAGAGTCTTACTTTTTTCAGATTTAGGCGATTGTGGTTTGCTATAGATTCCCCCTATAAATGTAAACTTGAACATGAAGGAGGGTTTAGACTTTACTGGTACTCCGGGTATCTTTAAAATCATTGCAAGCCATCAAAGCGTTAAAGATAGCAGAAAAATGTAACGTAACTGAATTCTGGCTCCGTCACTTTTTAGAGTGAACTTCTGTTTATCACTAGGTCGATTTTGTTTGTTTTTGTTTTTGTTTTTTAAATCAAAACCGTTCTTACGATAATGTGGCAGAAACGTTGTCCACACATTACCTAATACTATACTAACACGTGGACGTGAATACGCTGGAAACTACTGTCATTAACATTATTTATTTCCCTGTCCAGATAGTCCTGTAGATTATACCTACTGGGCTAGTGGACAGCCGGCTGGTCTGGGAGGTATTGCTGCAGCACAAGAGGACTGCACCCTACTGAAATACCGCGACTCCGGTCACTGGCATGATTATCCGTGTTCCTCCATCTTGTTCATCCCAGAGAACTATGGCTGGATTTGCAAATTTAGTAAATATACATTTTTGAAATTTTTACATTTTACTCCATGCTTGTAAACGGCACAGCGTCTGTAAATTGGCTAATGGTATGTGTCAATTATATAACGAAAATATGCAAACACCAGTCTTATAACAGCAGAGTTATTGCTTTATGTAATGGTGACGAAATTGACTCCAGTTAACAATGTTTACATATGCATGACAATAACACGATATAATGATACAACGTAAGACAACCATCACATGACCATTACGTCAGCAAAGAAACCGTGACGACTCGCCGTCAAAATGGCCGCTCCACATAATGGATTACTTCGTCAATAATGAACGATTTATTTTATTTAAAATAGGCATAGGAAGACAACATAGTCAGTGTTTGTAAATATAAGCAACGGATTTTGCTTCTATCGTCGATATAAATGATAAAGCTTCGCAGGTCTATTCATACCAAGACAACATTGATAATATTTTGTGTCAGTCGAGATGAAGGAGTCTCGTAACTTGATACACCAAGCCTACTGCAGTATTTGAACTGGTTCTAGTAAGGCTCGATTTCCATTCGTATGGTAAATTTCCCCACCTCTTGAAGTCTGGAATTCGAAGTCACTTTTTTGTTGTATTTTCCAATGCCCAGTATTAATTCTGGTTTCCTTCGCCAGGCCCCTTAGGATTGGTCTATTTTACTAGGACCTTTATGATTGGTCTATTTCACTAGGCCCCTTAGGATTGGTCTATTTCACTAGGCCCCTTAGGATTGGTCTATTTCACTAGGCCCCTTAGGATTGGTCTATTTCACTAGGCCCCTTAGGATTAGTCTATTTCACTAGGCCCCTTAGGATTGGTCTATTTCTCTAGGCCCCTTAGGATTGGTCTATTTCACTAGGACCTTTATGATTGGTCTATTTCACTAGGCCCCTTAGGATTGGTCTATTTTACTAGGACCTTTATGATTGGTCTATTTCACTAGGCCCCTTAGGATTGGTCTATTTTACTAGGACTTTTATGATTGGTCTACTTCACTAGGCCCCTTAGGATTGGTCTATTTTACTAGGACCTTTATGATTGGTCTATTTCACTAGACCCCTTAGCATTGGTCTATTTTACTAGGCCACATCAGTTTGACTCATTTTTCTTGCCCTCTTCGTTTGATCCATTTTCCGAGGCCAAATTGTTTTTTTTTTTTTTCACCCTGGCTCCACTGGTTTGGTCGATTTAGTCTAGGCCCTGTATGTTTGATCTTTTTCCACAGATTCCACAGGTGTATGCTATTTTTCTGGTCCAATTACTTAAGTATATTTTCCCTAGTCCTAGAGGCTTCGCCTACCACACTAGGTCCAATTGGTTTGGCCCATTTTGTCTAAACAAGATAGAAAACGGTCAACATTTGAGCTAAATTATTGCTTATTGAAAAGTTCTGCATTAATACAAGCACAGTCGTGTTTCTAAAACTGTATAATATAAATTTCAACATTATAGTTCAAAACTGTTAAAATGTCTGTCATCTTTTTTTGAAAATTTCAGATATGACACCAGAAAAAGTGACAACGCCACAACCCATAGTGGTGTCTACACCAACACCTGTTACAGTGGTATAGTGTTGTAATAAACATAACATATGCTGGTTCGTTAGTATTGTCTTTTGGAGAATGACATCACATAAAGGCGTTGTCTTTTAAATTATACATCCTGGATTCAGCAGATAGGATTATTACTTTTATATCTTCAACACAGAAAGGGTCGTAAGGGCCAAGAAATTGTGGCCAAAAATGAACGAAAAATATACGAGAACAAAGTCAAACATTGCCATGAAAGCAACCAGAATTGTCGAGATGACCTATTGCCATCATGGTTCATCCTTGCCACCCACTTTGCTTAAATTTTTACTTTTAAAATACTTCACCTATATGCCTGAGCATAATTCATCCAAATTTGGGCTGAAACATCATTGCGGAGGACAACCAGAAATAAAGTTGATTCAATCTCCTGGCTTTGAAGTGGGTTCAAAATGCCAACTTCTTTGTTTTGCTTTTAAATATTACTACTCCTTCATGCTTGGGTGGATTTCAACCAAATCTGGTTTGAAACATCTTGAGGAGGGATTATTTCTTAACTAATGTTAATTTGACACCTGAGGACAATAGCTGGTACCCAAGAGAATGTTTTTATATGAACAAATATTTTGGAATTTTTGGTGGCAAGCCTTCATCATTTTTTCAAAAGAATAAAACACTGCTTAGTACCAAATTGATAGGTCATATGATATCATGATATTAATGAAATATGTTAATTAGCTTGCTGGAGGTACATAGAAACAAATACGATAGAAAAACAAACTTTATTCTGAACATCTGGTAACAACATTGTACACCTTTTGTACAAAACATGGAAAAATGTAACTATGGTAACAACAAAACAAAGAACAGTTTAACACTACTAATGATCAACAATGTAGCATTGATCACATTGTTACATGCAACCTATAAAATATACAATTATCTACATACTATTGAACTGTATATCTTAATTACTACTACAAAAAATTATTACTTTGTAATACTCACATTTTACCTGTAAAATGTCACAATGAAAATAAAACGTATCTTGTATATAACACCATTGTTATCTTACGTCAAAAACATCAACCAGAACATTTTTTACTTTGAAAATAAACAAAAAGAAAACCTTCTAAATTTGCCTCAGCCTGAACTACAGGGGTTCCTGAATGTCACCGACATTTACCTGTTTAAAACATATATCTACATTTCATCTTTATTTTATTCAATTCATGCAATAAAAGCCAGAACTGATTTCTTAAACAACAGCAGCAGTATTCAGCAGTGAACAAGAGGCTCCATGGACCTGTATCTCTCACTTTTCTGTAGCTTAGAAAATAAAACTTAGTCAATTTTGTGCCATGTACTATGACCTAGGTCTATATATTGGTATACGTTGGAAAAAGTAATTTCAATAATTTAACACATTTGAACCCTGTGATCTTGAAATTTAGTCAATATCAGTTACTTGAATACGTTTGCAAGCCCTGAAATACCCAGCATTCTGCTATCCTAACTTCACGACTCATGGATTTTAGGTGAATAAGAAGATTTTGATACATTCTAACCTTTTGAACTATTTGAACTATGTCATTTATTTTGTAGCCCTTCACCAGAACATGTTACTTGAAAAATATCATAACCCTGGGCCTTTACATCATTTTGAGTCAGCAGTGAAAATTATAAAACATTTGAGTCATGTTCTTGAAAGTAGACAAAGATCATCTAGTCGCACAAACTCAGAACCCCTTCATCCCAGTATGCTACGGATCAAACATTTTGACCCTTTGCCTCTTGACTAACTGACTATTGAGAAGAAGTTGATGAAAGATTTAACACTCTCTCTGTGACCTTGAAATTTGGTACTTCCTTTAAATCAGCTTGGTAGTCCTACCATTCACCATGATTCTTTCCCAATGTCACGATTCATGCTTCTCCACTATTGAGAAGAAGCTGTTTATTGATGTCAAACAGGTGATGGATGCCACACCACAGCATAAAATCATCGGCCTGAAAGGCAGCGGTACCCATAAACTGGTGGTAACATTGGAAATTTTCTTAAAATATTTATCATATTGCTTATTGTTATAACCATATTCAATAACAACAAAAGAAAACAGACAACATACATTAAACAAAAGATTTGTGTTCACAATTAACAAATTGATCCATTAACAAACTTAAATCAACTGAACAAGAAACAAAATTGCAAACCTTTTCAGTAATTGGGGTATTTTGGTATCAACTACATGTAAAATGAAGTTTACAAGTACCTTACAAAACAAGATACATTGAAATGTAGATATGTAACATCCCGAGACAAGATATAAATGTACACAAAGACAGAGCCCGACAAATGTGTGTAGACCTTAACACGGAAGATCAATGAGTCTGAATTGAAATCTTAATGTACTGTTTGAGTTGAATGTTTTGTTGGTAGACATCAGTCTTGTAGGTAACCAAGATTAATGTAAGTGTTCATGTGGAGTTCGAGCGTAATGTTCTTTGGAGTAACCTCAGTCCTGGAGGTCACCGAGTCTGATGTGAGCCTTCATGTGGAGTTCGAGTGTAATGTTCTTTGGATTGACCTCAGTCCTGGAGGTCACCGAGTCTGATGTGAGCCTTCATGTGGAGGCTGAGTGAGATGTTCTATGGATTGACCTCAGTCCTGGAGGTCACCGAGTCTGATGTGAGCCTTCATGTGGAGTTAGAGCGTAATGTTCTTTGGATTGACCTCAGTCCTGGAGGTCACCGAGTCTGATGTGAGCCTTCATGTGGAGTTTGAGTTGGATATTCTGTGGGTAGCTCCTCTCACACAGCTGACACTTGTAAGGGTTTTGTCCAGTATGGAGTCGTATGTGGATGGTCAAGCTGCTGCGACTGGAGAACAACTTTCCACAGTATTTACATTTAGTAGCCTCTGAGGAATAGTTACGGGCGGTTGTACCTCGCAGTTTGTTGCTGCTGGTGGCAAATACTGGACTTTCTTGATCACATGATTTGAATTCTGTTCAAAGAAGAATTGAAATGACACGCTCTTTTTCGACAATAATGAAACTATTTCAACTAGTACTACTAATTTTGTCTTTCTAAATGTCACATGTTATTCAACCAGGTTTAAGCATGACCTTGACCTTAAGTCAAAATGACAAGTTAACACAGAATTTTGAAACAACACAGGTGAAGTTTCATTCAGGTATCTACAAAAATGAAAATTTAAGTAAAAGAAATTTTCTTCTATGGAAATTTTGATATTTGACCTCCAGGACTGACCTTGACCCAATCAATGATACAACTATAAATAGAGCCAACCTCAGTTCTAGGTGTGAGGGTTGATCAGTGGGGTGCTGTGTGTTGGGTATAGATACCAGGAGGTATGTCTGGTGTGAGGGTTGATCAGGGGGGTGCTGTGTGTTGGGTATAGATATCAGGAGGTATGTCTGGTGTGAGGGTTGATCAGTGGGGTGCTGTGTGTTGGGTATAGATACCAGGAGGTGTGAGGGCTGATCCGTGGGGTGCTGTGTGTTGGGTATAGATACCAGGAGGTATGTCTGGTGTGAGGGTTGATCAGTGGGGTGCTGTGTGTTGGGTATAGATACCAGGAGGTATGTCTGGTGTGAGGGTTGATCAGTGGGGTGCTGTGTGTTGGGTATAGATACCAGAAAGTATGTATGGTGTGAGGGTTGATCAGTGGGGTGCTGTGTGTTGGGTATAGATACCAGGAAGTATGTCTGGTGTGAGGGTTGATCACTGGGGTGCTGTGTGTTGGGTATAGATACCAGGAAGTATGTCTGGTGTGAGGGTTGATCAGGGGGGTGCTGTGTGTTGGGTATAGATACCAGGAAGTATGTTTGTCCTGAGGGTTGATCAGTAGGGTGCTGTGTGTTGGGTATAGATACCAGGAAGTATGTCTGGTGTGAGGGTTGATCAGGAGGGTGCTGTGTGTTGGGTATAGATACCAGGAAGTATGTCTGGTGTGAGGGGGCATCAGTGGGGTGCTGTGTGTTGGGTATAGATACCAGGAGGTGTCTGGTGTGAGGGTTGATCAGTTGGGTGCTGTGTGTTGGGTATAGATACCAGGAGGTGTCTGGTGTGAGGGTTGATCAGTTGGGTGCTGTGTGTTGGGTATAGATACCAGGAAGTATGTCTGGTGTGAGGGTTGATCCGGGGGGTGCTGTGTGTTGGGTATAGATACCATGAAGTATGAGGGTTGATCAGTGGGGCGCTGTGTTTTAGGTATAGATACCAGGAGGTGTGAGGGTTGATCAGTGGGGTGCTGTGTGTTGGGTATAGATACCAGGAAGTATGTCTGGTGTGAGGGGGCATCAGTGGGGTGCTGTGTGTTGGGTATAGATACCAGGAGGTGTCTGGTGTGAGGGTTGATCAGTTGGGTGCTGTGTGTTGGGTATAGATACCAGGAGGTGTCTGGTGTGAGGGTTGATCAGTTGGGTGCTGTGTGTTGGGTATAGATACCAGGAAGTATGTCTGGTGTGAGGGTTGATCAGTGGAGTGTTGTGTGTTGGGTATAGATACCAGGAAGTATGAGGGTTGATCAGTGGGGCGCTGTGTTTTGGGTATAGATACCAGGAGGTGTGAGGGTTGATCAGTGGGGTGCTGTGTGTTGGGTTTAGATACCAGGAGGTGGGGGGGGGTGTCATTTGAAATGTATGGTTTAAAATATCTAAATATCAATTTTCCGTAAACATGCTATCTTCAAATCACAAAAGTCAGAGACTTAAAGAACAGAATTACCAGAGTGAGAAAGCTTGTGCTCCAATAGACTGTCAAAATCCTCAAAGTATTTGCCACACACATCACAATAGACATAGTTCCCATGTGTCTGAATGTGTCGTTTAAATCCGTTGATGTAGGGAATAGTTGTGTCACAAAGACCACACAGATATACACACTTCTCAGCCCTGTTGTAGCCGCGCCAATGTAGAGTCACACATCCATAGACCTGTATAGACAACCAAACATCATTTAAACATCCATAGACCTGTAGAGGCAACCAAACATCACTTGAAAGCCATTCGTCCCAT